GTTGGTGCAAAATGCAGCAGCCTGCATGGTTTTGTGTAGATTTCGGTGTGCACCTGTATCACCCCTCCTGCAGGAACCGCATTGGTTGCCAATTTGCTTCCAGGTGGAATTCAAGGTGCTGGTTGTCACCTTTAAAGTCTTTCATGGCTTGGGACCAGGTTATCTGAGGGATCATCTCTTGCCGGTCACATCTACCCGACCCACTAGAGTGGGGAGGCAATGAATGTTGCATGTTCTGTCCCCTAAGGAGACACATCTGGTGGGACCCACAAGAAGGGCCTTCTCTGTGGTGGTTCCCTCCCTCTGGAACATCATCTCTCTGGAAATTAGACTGGCCCCCACTCTGATACTCTTTTGGAAGGCCCTGAAGACATGGTTCTGCCAATGGGCCTGAGGAACACAGAGTGGGGTGGAGCCCATTAAATGGCTGGTATGAGTGTAAGTTGTCGCCGGGTTTGTGGGTTGGGGGTTATTATTTTATTATTATTTTTACTTCTTTTATATGGTGTTTTTATATCCGTGTAAGCCATCTTGAGTCACCATGTGTGAGTAGGCAGCAATATAAATTTTCTAAATAAATAAATGTCGCAGCAGCACTGTGGTACTAGAGGTAATGTTATATCAAGAAAAAAGAAATACAGAGTTACATGGGTAGCAAATAGTAGAGTGTTTTCAGTATAATTTTATAGATTTTTGTAGAAGTAGGTAAAAGTAGAACAAAAAACGGGTTAACCAAACGTGTAAATACAATTCAACCAGTTCAACAAAAGCTAGTAAAAAAAAACCACACACATTAATATAAGCTAATTACTAAAATAGATTAAAAAATAAAGAAAAAAACAAGAGTGTAATATATAAAGTATAATAATATATATAAAAACTCTATATTGTTAGAATACAAAATTTTAAATATTTTTTTCTTTATTTGTGTCAGAAGCACCCTCATATTATAAACAGTTAACATTCAACACTAAACAAATAAGAGATATATTAAAAAAGCACCACTTTTTGGTCTAATACGTAAGTTAATGCAAGATAATATAGATCAGCTTTTAAGCAACGAATGAAATCTAGAGCATATGGAATTTATTATTCAATCTTTCTTTTTTATCAAATTTCCTTTAGAAGTTTCCTTTAGAATGTTTAGAATCAGTTTAGTTCTTCTGAGTGCATAGTAATTTTCCGCAATTCAACCACAATATAGCTGAGGTTCCTGACAGATGAATTCCATATCTGAAGATATAATTTAATCAATATTAAAAACTTCTTACCAAGAACATACAGGTAGTCCTTGGTTACCAACCACTTGTTCAGCAATTGTTCAGTTATGACAGCTAATGGTCCTTGACATTGCAGTTGTCAGTGCTCCCCATGATCACAATTTAGATGTTTGGCACCAGCATGCAATTATGAGTCACAGCATCCCGCAGTCATGTGATCGTCAAGAAAAGTCAGTAGGGAAGCTGGCAGGAAATTGCAAGTTGAGATCATGTTTGCCCTTAAAAATTCACAATGATTTGTTTAATGACGGGGGTTATTGTTATAACTTGTCCAGGATCATATGATTTTTCACTTTATAACTGCAAAGCAGTTGGCAAAACAATTGTCAATCCCAATTATGGTCAGTAAGTGAGAACTATCTGTAACCATAGCATTAATGCCCAACCAATAAGGATCTGAGAAAGTAGGGATGCATGCTTACATTGTGCTTCTCTATCTGATCCCCCTCACTATACAGAGTAAGACACAGATAAGATTATGGCATATACTCTGCAGCAATTAATATCCCCATTCACTTTTTTCCTGTTCATCCAAGTCACTTACTGCAGTTGTGCATATCTGCATCTATGCCCCTCTTACCTTTCATTCCTTATCATAAAAAATAAGTAGTACACTTCAATACATTTTCCAGTTCAGGTAAAGCAGAGGTCCCCAACCTTTTGGGCATCAGGACTGGTTCCATGGAGAAGTTTTTCTGCAGACTGGAGGGTGCGTGGTTTTGTGTGCTGCCTGCATCCCGCGGACGGGGCTTTGCTTGTTTGTGCAGACCAGTTGCTGGCATGCCGCGACCTGGTACTGGTCCACGGACCAGGGGCTGAGGACCCCTAAGATAAAGGATATATTTCCTTGAAAGGAGCAGCCAGCCTCAAGATGAATTTTGAACATTCCTCACTTCCTGGCAATTTCCAATCTTACTGGCTCCTTCTAGACCAGGGGTGTCAAACTGCTGGCCCACGGGCCGGATGAGTCACGCTGAAACCTCGCCCACCCCATTGCCGGCAATGGAAAAAAAATCGCATGACATTGCGAGTTTGACACCCTTGTTCTAGACATTCATGAGTCAATGTAACTCAATTGTGAGTAAAAAAAAATATATCATGAAGAAAAAGTTTTAACATATTCTGTGTGAAACCTGAACCAGCTATCAATTTAATGAGCTTTTGTGATTAGCAGAGATTATAGAGCTAGTTGCTGCCAAATCTGTCTTGAGGCCAAAAGAAAATATATTTTTTTTCCAAGAGAACATTCAAATTAATTAGTCATCCTTGGAGCAGCAAGCAAATGTGTTTTCTCTTCTAAAAACCGAAGTCCAGTGTTTTGGTGGAGGTCCTTCTTCCATTGGAAGAACAGAGGTGAGTGTGTGGAGGTGTTTTAGGTTCATGCAAGTATCGGAGCTTGTACCTGTGCCTGCAGAGGAACCATTTCTTTCCAATTTTCTCTAATGCCAATGATAAATTTTATCTTATTCCATTATTCGTTAGCACTGGGCATTACAAGTGTTTATCTTAGCTACTTGTCCCACAGAATGCCAAGGGGACGAGAGTCAGTTTGGTCTAGTGCAGGGGTAGGCAACCTTGGCTCTTTTATGACTCGTGGACTTCAACTCTATGCTGGCTCAGGAATTCTGGGAGTTGAAGTCCACGAGTCATAAAAGAGCCAAGGTTGCCTACCCCGGTCTAGTGGTTAAGGCACCAGGCAAGCTGCAAAAAACTGGGAGACTGGGAGTTTTAGTCCTGTCATAGGCATGAAAACTGGCTGGGAGATCTTGGGCCAGTCACTCTCTGTCAGCCAAACCCACCTCACAAGGTTGTTGTGGAGAAAATAGGAGGAAAGAGTATCGGTATGCTTGTAACCTTGAGTTATTTATCAATATAATAAAGGTGGGATATAAATAAATGAAAATAATTAAAAAGAGAATAATCTGTAGATCAAAATGCTCTTGTGATGTGCAAAATAACGTGCATATCAAAATGTACAATAGGCATTCCTAATAGTAAAAATCAGTGTATTACAACTGGAATTTTGTCTATAAAAATTTTGGATCCATAAAATTATTGCTTCTATATTTTGAATGGTTCAAACTTGGCTATCATCAAATTTCTTCCATATCTAAAAAAAAATCAACATGAAAAGAGTCACAATTTCCTATGACCATATTCCAGCTGCCAGGTTTCCATGGTTTGGCAGCCAGATAATTATTCCAAGAGAAGTTTAATATTTCTTCTCAGTATGTAAGTGGCTCACAATTCTGAATTTAGGCCTAGCTGAGAAGAAAAATTTGGAACAAAAAATCTCCTTCAGTAATTTCAGCTGATTTTGCAACTGGCTAGAGGAGGGATGTCAAACTGCCGGCCCGGGCTGGTTGCATCATGCGGAGGCCGCACCCACTCCAACTCCGGCTATTTGAAAAAAGTCACGATATGTTGTGGCACGTCACGTGACACGGTGAGTTTGACATCTGTGGGCTAGAGTGATTAAAAATGTGGAAATTAATTCTTTTGGGTCACTTGGAAGATACAAATTACAGAAAGATTGGTGCAAAATGTTCACAGTCTATGCATTAATGCTCAGCATAAAGAAAATGAACAAGATGAGTTTGAGCTCTGAATTACAACAATCTTATTTAATAAAGACCTGGTGGGAAAACTCCCATGATTGGACTATAACAATGAAAAATGCGATTTTTTTTTACAAAACACACAGAACCATTTTTTTTTCATTTCAGTTTCCGTTTCCAATTTAATAAAGTCCAAAACATAACTGAGCTCCATAAATGTTGTTTGTTATTCTCTTGACATGTTGTGCAAATAGAAGAGGGGTGCCAATTTTCTCAAAGTCAAAAGTCATTAGGTAGGGTGTGAGTTTATGGGTGTGTGCCTACATGCACAATGCAAACTATTGTAAATTTATATTAGTCCCTTATTCATAGCTTTCCTCAACCTGATGTCCTTTAAATGAGTTGGACCACAATTCTTGGCATCGCCTCTAGGTTGCTCAAGCCTTATGTTTAAATAGTAGGATTCTTCTATATATGCTGCATTAGGTAGGTACTTAACAAGAGATTTGCTGCCCTGAGCCTCCTTTAGGAGCGTTTTTATTCAAAAAAAGTTAAAAATAACAAATGCCCTTAAATTATGGTTAGACTGGCAGTCACATTAGCCTGGGGCAAAGAAAAAATGCTAATAAATGTATTCTGCCATAAGCTTCAGCGTGCCTCGGCTTAAAAAGAAAACTCTGCCTTTAAGTGTAGAACTGATCAAATGTTACTTTAAGTCTACATCCCTTTGGAAAAAAGCAGGACCACGCTTGTTCCAGAGTCGGATCACTTTCCAGCTCCTCTTTGAGAAAGCGGCAGTCTTAACCGAACTCGTTCAAAAGTAAAGCTCATTAAATTCAATGTTTTTTTTTCCCCGTACAAGAAAGCGACTCCTCTCCCGCCCTTCCTGTCTTCTAATCTAAGCAATCTCATTTTATACCACGCAAAGGAAACGTGGTTTATCGCAATGGGGGGTGGGGGTGGAACAACCTCGCAAGTCCGTCCAAGTCCTCGCAACTCATCGCTTTCGTCGCGTCGCGGTCCTTTTGGGGTGCAGTCCCGCAAAGACAACACCTTCCGCTCCCAGGCAGCTAATTAAACTGGCGGGCGGGGTGTGTGTGCTTAGGGAGGGGCTGCTAATGGCTCTTTCCTTCTTCACCAGCAGTTCCCCCTAATCCCATCCACCTCCCAGGGCTTAGTACGTAGGTCTTTGCCCGGACAGCCAATAGTCGCGAATGCGCACGGGAGCTGCTGCTGCTGCTTTTTTCAGCCTTGGCGCGAGCCTCCCCAAAGGCTCTTTCCTCGCCCTCCCCTCCCCTCGTCCCCTCCCGAGGGCGGGTGGCCCAGTCAGTCGGCGAAGAGGAGGAGGTGCGGAGGTACCAACGCATCCCTCGCTCAGGCGCACCAGGCAGACCGGCTGCAGACTGGCGAGGCAGGCCTAGGAGGAGCTAAGCGCGCGTTTTCCAGATCCAGGAGCTGGTCGGAGGGCAAAAAGACCGGTTTCTTCTAGGCTGGCGGGTAGGCACGCAGGGCTGTGGAAAACCGGGCTGGGGTTGGGCGATGGAAAAATGCTCTTTATTTACTCATCGGTCCCATGTCTAAGCTTTCGCCCTATGCGCTCGGCGAACGCGTCCCCTTCGAGAGGAGTGGAGGGACGGGGGTCGAGGAGCTTTTGGGCTCGACTCTGCTTAGGGCTGGGATTTGGGGGAAGCTTCTTCGAGGCTCATCCTGGATTAGCCTGCTCTTGCATCCTTCTCGCCTTCTCGGCAATCTGTTCTTGGCGGGGCTGAGGCTGCTCAGAGGGTTCCGCGCCGGGAGCCTTCGGGGGGGCGGGGGGGGGGCTGGATGGAAGGTACCTTTTTACAAGAGCGGCTGGCCAATTCATTTTCTGCGCGTTTAGGAAATGTGTTGTAACGGTGAAAGAGACTGTCGCTGCAACCTCAGGGCAACCGGGGCAAAGAGCCGCTTTCTGGACTTCGACCCTTTTCTCCTTATACTTTTTTTAAAAAATAATTTTAGTGGTATAGTTATTAGTTAAGTGCTGACTCTAGAATTTTAGTCCTATTGTAAGCATGAAAGCCAAGCGATGATTCTGGTCAGTCAGTGTCTCTCACCCCAATCCACCTCGCAGGGTTGTTATTACGGGGAAATTAGGAGGCGGGAGTAACTCACCTTGAGTTGCTAATAAAGTAATTAAAGAGTAATGAATAAACTCTTTACTGATCTAAAGAGTGAATGAATAAATAAATTCACTCCAGTAAGAATTCCTGGGCTTAATATCTGGGGGAGGAACAGATTGAGGCCCCAAACTGCCTAGAAGCTTTCCCTGGTCTGTATTATATGTAACTATGTGGATGAATTATGCATATGTGATGCACAGTAAATTCGTAATGCATCCTGAAAATGTTCTTCATGCAAGGGGGGGGGCTTTGAATTAATGTGGACTCCTGCTGACTGCTTAGGCAAGTCTCTGCAACTTACTTGGCAATGTTTTTCAGAAATGATTTTCCATTGCTTCCTTCATAGGGCTAAGAGACATTGACTGGCTCAAAGTTAGGTCAGGTTTGGAGAGAGACTGGCTGAGGTGGGGGAGAAGTCAAATGGGGAAATAGTCTGGAATCCCTATGTGAATGCAGTTGAATCTAGTCTTACCCAACTATCAGTCTGATAGGCTTCAGCAATAAACCAGCTATCTGAATTCTTCACCTGTGCACCTGGTGCCTTAATCACTATGCCTAATTGACTTTCTCTTCATACATACTAGGATAAATGACTGATATATAGATATCTTTATGAGAACTCTCTAAAGGGAATGTGAGGAAGAGAGCAGCCATCTCAGACGCCTGCTTATTTGGACTTCCATCCCAAAAACTGTGCCCTGGAAAATATCATAGATGTTTGCTATTTACTTTTAAATAATATTGAGCACATTTTATTATTCTTTATACTGCTTGTAAGTTCCTTTGGGAGAATATAATAAGATATAAATAATTATAAAAATGAATAAATTATCCATCTGCATCAGGTACTATTGAAATTCCCCTAAATTGCTTGTTGGTACTTGAATCCATTCACCATATATTTTGGATTAAAAACTTTGGTACTGATACTAAATCCTTCACTAGTGGGTCAAAATACTTCAGATTCAAGTATCAATTCAATTTGCTACATATATGGGGAATGATTGTATGGTTGGAGTTGTCCATAGAAAAACAATGATTCTTGAGCTAGAAATGTGACTAACATGGATTCAAAAGCAGATACATCTGGAATATTTTGTAATTGCCCTGATTGCAGAGTTCTTTGTAGCCAATTCTACATACTGTTACTTCCATGGAGATGGAAATTGGAGAATATCCATATATAGAAAATGTACAGTACATAAGAAATTAGCTTTTAGGATAGGACAGTCTCTGCCCTTTTTTTTTTCATTTAGCAACTAAAATGCTAATCAAAATGTAAGCAGGCAGCAAAACTGTAGAGGAATATTTCTAAGCATTTATAATTTAAAAAAGAACATTTGGTACATTTTAAATACTTAAATACAGTACAATTGTCCTCTATATTTGTGGATCAGAGTGATAATTCAACCCTGCAGCCTGAAGCCGCAGTAACTACTCATTTCCTCAAAGAGTGAATTTGTTCTTATGTAGCCAAATTGGCGCCATTCACTCAAAGATGGCTAGGCTTTATCTTAAGAAGGTACTTCATAATATAAAGATGATGCAGTCTTCCTTAACGGGATTTCCCATCATTTCCACCTCAAAATCTAACTGGCCTTTTATGTGCCAGTATAGGCTGAAACCTCTTCTAGTTAATGGAACTCAGAAGCTTGGGGAATCAAACAAGCTGGTTTGCTGTTAGAAAGGGGTTGTATACAGAAAGTTGTATACTAGCAATTACAGTGGGGACTGGCAACTCAGTTGTTAAGCCAAACAGTTGCCAAGTGAAATTGCAGATGTGCTTATGATATTACTTTTAGCTTTCCTTTGCTTGCAGATCTGCAAAGCAAGGACCGGTCATAAAGTTACTTTTTCATTACTGTTGAAACTCTGGGCAGTCATTAAATGAGCCAGTCACTAAACAAGGACTACCTGTAGATATTGCTTCATGCAACAACTTTAAAACTATACTATCCATGCAAAAGGATGGTGTTATAGGCTTGGGAAAACCCCAGGGTTTGCAGAAATCATCAAAAGAATCAAGGGAGGCAAGAACCTATAGGACAATTATCCTCTAAAAGAATTTAATGTTGAATGGCAAGCTCTGCAATAGATATTATATGTATCCAGGTGTGGGAAAAGAGAGATGGGAAAGAAAAAAGATATTTGAGTACTTTGTCACAGCTGGAATTCTGAAAAGAAATTTTCAGTGTTGCAGCATTTTTGAAGGTTACCCTTAATGTAATGAGCAGAAGATCCAGCTAGATTAAAATTCTTAGAACATGAATGTGTCATTTCTTGGCTTTCAATACTGATCATCTAATATGTGTAATGAGGATCTGGAAGTTCTTTTAAGACGTGCTGTCACTGGGAAAAAAAAAAAAGATTGAGGTTTTTGTTTCTGGTCTTTGCCTTTAGAGACTTATTGTAGCAGCTCTGAGGATGTTTCTGCTTGGCTCGACAAGGCTACTGTTCTTGCTGGCTCTTCTTGGCCTGGTCTTTTCAGCTCCTACTTTGGACAGTAAGAAAAAGGAGCAACCCCAGGAGATAGTCCTAAGCTTTCCAAAGGATGAAACTAGCCTGAATGAAATGCTCCAGGAAGTTGAGGAATTGATGGAGGACACTCAGTATAAGCTGACCAATGCAGTCAAAGAGGTAAGACTTTGCCCCAAGAGTTGGGGAAAGAATTTAATGTTTAAAGCTGATGGGGAACCTTACCAGACTATGGTTTTTAGGGGGTTTAGATTAACAACAATAAAGTTAAAACATAATATACCAGTGCTCCTGAAATGATTACCATTTTAACTGGATACTTGAAGAAAAGGCACGTGTCTGCGTAGTGAGAATAATGTAATAAAATGGTGGAAACTCTACCTGCTCAGCCTAGTATGGTTGCATAGATTAATTTGAGTGACTTGCCTAGACCAGAGGCCTCCAACCTTTTGGGCACCAAGAACCGATTCCATGGAGAGAGGTTTTTTCCACGGACCGGAGGGGGCATGGTTTTGTGTGCTGCCTGCAACCCATGGATGGGGCTTTGCTTGTTTGCGCAGACCGGTTTCTGGCATGCCGTGGCCCAGTACCTGTCCATGGATTGGGGTTTGGGGACCTCTGGCCTAGACAACGAGCAAGAGAGAGTATAAAACATTAGGGGTATGAATGTTTTATCACTATCATTATCAACATCTCTTTTTATTCCACTAATATTTATATAGTTTTAGACCTCCAGGAGTTAATTCATACTTCAGGGCATGCTTTATAGTCACTGTGCATTTTTGAAGGACTGAAATGTAACAGCATTTTCTAATCTGATCGTTGTCAAAAGAATTAATAAATGTCAAAGGCAAAGAGGGTGGAGAGAATGAGGCAGAATACAGAATATCTGTAACTCTAAAATACACACCAAAAGAATTGTCATATTTATGTAGAAATTTAATTGCAAATCTCTTACAAGAAGAAATTTTTGATCCTCATTTATACCTAATCTTGTTTTCTTATCTATGCTTTTATTTTATATAAAAGAAAAAAAATCACTTTCTGCTCGTCTTTCATTTTTCTTCCCCTGGAATCACATACATATTTTCAGGCCAGTGATATTAAGGTGGAGTATAGTTTGAGCTTGTTTCCCATCCTCATTACCATAACTATTTTCATGATGTGAAAAATTGATGCAGAGTTTTCAAGCATTTTACGTGTTGAAAAATGGAGAGATTTAATTTGGCACATTTTCCTGTTGCTGATCTTCTAATGTTAAATCAGTAACTGTGAAGGAAGTCCATCTGCTTCATTAAATATTAGTGGCAGGTTTGTTGCTTTACAGACTAATTAAATATACGTGCATATTGGATTTTGGAAATATCTTTGTGTTTTCCCCCTTTTCTGATATAGGAGATATTTATTGTCTAATAATCTTGTATCTCATATCCCCCCCCCTCCAAAATACCTTTCCACAAATATTCTGAATGTGCCATTTTGGAAAGAAATGATACGATTTCTTGCCAACCTACGATTAACTATGCATGGACCGGACTGGAAGCATAAATTCTGGTTTACAAAACACAGTGGTTTGTTCATATAATCCACATCTAAATAAACTAAACTGACATAGCAAAATGTGCACATCAAGCTAATGAATTCCAATCCCATTTGATTTGATTTGGAGCCTCATCCTTTTCACACTAGTCAAGCTCAGAAAAATAAGCTGCATACAAAACACTCTTTGAAGAAGTAAATCCTGTTAAATAGACACTTTATAAAATAGTTAAGTTTCTAGTTGTTGTTTAATTATGTCTTTTTAAATGCTTGCTTTTTTTACTTCTGAATGCTAGACTTGTATTATTCATCTTCATGGGGCAGAGAGAGGGGGAAGGGGGGGGGGCTTAGCTCATTGTGTCCTTAAGCTGCTCCTGTCAGGTGCTCATGCCAACCTGTCTTAGGCAGCCAAGAAAATTCTATCTGGGCTGAGATGCTTGGGCAACAGCTTGCAAGGTGTCCAGTCCAAACAGCAGGGTACCACATCCTCCCACTCTTCTATACATTGGAATTAATTATTGGAGCCTAGCTGCTAAGAAAATAATAGTTGCGGCATAAGCTGAAACAAGAGCTTGGAAGAGACCTAGGTCTGGCTTCAGTATGGTTTAGATTTTACTGTTTTACAAAATTCATAGCAGCCTACATTACCCATGGAATTCAATTAAACTTTTTTTTTAGTAACCTGCTAACCAATTCTTCTTATGCAATAATGTTTATGTAATTGGTCCAAATAATTAAGCCATTTTCTTGAATCTCAAAAATATGGTACAACTGCAGCAAAATAATTTCTCATGATAGAAGTCATTACTCGGTTTTCTGGATTTTCTTATTTATTTGAAACTTCTGTATGCCACTTCTCATTTAAAAACAAACCAAGCCCCCCCTTTGATGTGATTTTAGATAAACTCCAACAATTCAAATACGTTAAAAATAACTGCAAATATATACTAAAATATTATATTAAACATATAAAAGAAACGTAGTGAAAATAATAAAATAATAACTATGCAGGGTAAAAACATCAGTAAGGAAGTAAGGCTCTAATGCTGGGAAACAGATGAGTTCAACCAGCAGCAAGGTGGCTGAACTCAGTTACCGGGGCAATGAATGCTCCATTGAGAGACTTGAAAGAACAGATTAGGGATAGATCTTCATGGATCTATCTATATGGTTTCTAGATGTCAAAAGTAAAAAAAAAACAGTGACACATAAATTGAGGGAGTTAAAATGTCACACAGCACTAAAACATTATTCGAAAGACTGAAAAATTAAATGTTCCTTTGCCTGACACTGAAAAGAGAGACTTCTAGGGCGTAACCTGCTTGGAATGGTATTCTTTAAAGCAGGGGTCCCCAACCTCCCAGTCCGTGGATCGGTACCAGGCCACAGCATGCCAGCAACCGGGCTGCACAAATAAGCAAAGCCCCATCTGCGGGCTGCAGGCAGCACACAAAACCACCCCCCCCTCCGGTCCGCGGAAAAATCTCTCTCCATGGAACCGGTTCCTGGTGCCCAAAAGGTTGGGGACCTCTGCCTTAAAGTAAGGCTTTATAGGTTAAAACCAGCACCTTGCCTTGGGATTGAAACCAGACTGGGAGATAGTGACGATCACATAGAGATTGCCTGGCACATTCATACTGGTTCCAGACAGTTTTGTAGCCTAAATAGAATAGCCATGGATATTATGATAACAGTATTCCAATATCTAATGGGCTGCCACAGAGAAGAGGGGGCCAACCTGTTCTGAAGGCAGAACAGGAAGCAATAGATGGAAACTAATCAAGGCGAGCACCAATCTAGAACTAAGGAGAAATTTCCTGACAGAACAATTAATCAGTGGAACAACCTGCCTCCAGAAGTTGTGGTTTCTCCAATACTGGAGGTTTTTAAGAAGAGATTGGACAACCATTTGTCTGAAATGGTATATGGTCTCCTGCTTGAGCAGGGGGTTGGACTAGAAGACCTCCAAGGTCCCTTCCAACTCTGTTCTTCTATTATTTATTTCTCTAGAAATCAGCTAGAGGGGATATTGCTGAATATCTCCCTTGGACATGTCAACCCCTATTAATTTGTGCACTGTTTATGATACTTAGGTAGGAAACTCATTTTCTTCTGTTTTTGAGTGTCATGATCTATGCTTCCCTCCTCTTCCCTGTTGCTTCCCTGGTTTGTTTATTTGTTCATTCTTCATTGTGAATTATCTATCTGCCAATCAGCTTGACTGTTTATGTCTGGGCTTCTGAAAAGAAGTACTGTAAATGCCGGCGTATAAGGCGACTTTCGCGAGCGCTGAAATCGGCGCCAAAGACGGGGGTCGTCTTATACGCCGAGTCGTCTTATACGCCGGAAATACTGGTAGTTTCCGGCGTATAAGACGACGTTCTAGGAATACGGCCCGGCTCCGGGTCACCTTGTACGCCGGCATTTACGGTATTTGTTCTGATGATCCTGAATCTCAAAGCAGATTTGTATCTGTTATCCATTTTCTTTTTCCCTGCCCTCCCCTTGGCCACACTCTGGGGGAAAATATTTTCATGATTTTGAAAAGTGTCATGTTTTTAGGGAATGGAGACAAGACAAGACAAGATTCTGCTGTGTAAATTCAAAGGTTTTTTTTTAATAATTTGTTCATGGATTTATTCCTCTTGCTCTCTCCTGACACACTCATTTATTTTGATCAAAAAAGCTGTTAAGTCTGTCTTCAGTATTCTTGATATTCTTGGTGTAGCCCAGCTTTTATTTACATAGCTGAAAGTGATTCAGCTGTTTCGAATTTGCTTTCCTGACAGGCTGAAAAGAATGTACTTGTGGTTTCCTTTGTTCTGAGATCTAGTACTTTGTACTTTCACAGTTAACTCTTCTCCCTAATATTCTGTTTTCCAACTTTATGTTGTGCTTGAACCTGCAGTTTGTCTCCGGGCCTAGAGTCAAGGCTTGGATTTGGTGGACAGTGAGTGTTGTTGATTAAGAGCAGAGTGTCCTCTCACTTGCAGATAGAAACAGTGTCTGAGGCAGGCATCTGGGATGAAGCTAAACAGCTTCCTATCAGAAGACATGTCTGGGCACTGGTGGTGCCAGTGCTTCATTTTAGAGATTAAACATAGCCTGTTTATAAAACAATCTTGTGTTTCTCTGGGAAACAGCCAGCCTTGGTGTGATTCTGCTTCTGATTTCTGTCACTGGCACATTGTGCTACTTGGACAAATGTCACTGGAATCAATGTACTTTCTTTCCATTGACGTGTTGAGAATTTTTAATTGCTGTAGAAAGCTAGAATTGCATTGATCTTCTTCTCCCATCTTCCTTTCTATCTTACGAAAAGCTGCAACAGCAAGAACGAAGCCTTTCTTTCATGTCGGATAGACTTATAATAAAGGGAATCTCTGTATTGATACAGACATTCTCACTAAACTATAAATTAGAACATAATGGTTTGATTTAATGGGTCCTTGGTGCTCTCTGAGCTTGCTTGTTTTCTTGCAAAGATTTCATTACCCTAACTAGGTAATATCATCAATGCTTATCACTAGCACTGATGATGTTACCTAGTTAGGGCAATGAAACCTTTGCAAGAAAACAAGCAAGCTCAGAGAGCACCATAGGACCCCTCATTTCAATTCTGAGCTACAAATATTCTCCTTCATTGGTTTGATTTAAACTCCTGGAAATTATACTGGCCCTGTACATATAGTTTTGTATCAGTGCGTAATCAATGTGTTGATTCTTATAGATCAAGTAATAATTCAAGTATTAAAGCGGAATTGTGGGTACTAGTCAAGGTTCTTACTTTGCTCACAGTTTTCAGCCTTGTGCTTAGTTTTTGTTTGACAACTGTAAAATGAAACTGAAAACTGACTGCCTAACAGCCTTAACATGATTTGCCCATTGCCTGTCATAAGAATGTGGTGTGGGATAACCCCCAAACTGAAAATTAACTCCGCAGTTAGGGAAAGATGGGACAGTTCTCTTATGAACAGAGTTTGACTGGTATTTGGCAGAATGATCTATGTTGCCAATAAGATCTGGCCTGGAGTGTGCCATTTGTATTAAGATTTGATCCTTCATTTTATGATAATTTTGTTTTTCCTTCCCAACAATTTTATTCCTCTGTGATTGGTTAAATTGTAAATTTTTAGTTGTGAGTACAGTGAGAATAAAAAATTGTAATTTGTTTATTTATTTGCAAAATTTCAAAATTATACCTGGCAGATCACAGTGAAAAAATATGTTTTTAATCTCTTGAAAGGAAATATGAGCAAATAGGATAGGGCAATTCTCCTTACAGGAGATGGTCTTGGACATACTGTAGCTAGAAGGCAAGCCATGAAGAGCTTTATAGATGAGTGTTTGGTAATAGATTATAGATGGATAGTAAACTCCTTAGGTTACTACTACTACTACTACTACTACTACTACTACTAATAATAATAATAATAATAAAGTTGGAAGGGACCTTGGAGGCCATCTAGTCCAATCCCCTGCTCAGGCAGGAAACCCTATACCATTTCGGACAAATGGCTGTCCAGTCTGTTCTTAAAAACTTCCAGTGTTGGAGCATTCACCGCTTCTGGAGGCAGGTTGTTCCACTGGTTAATTGTTCTAACTGTCAGGAAGTTTCTCCTTAGTTCTAGGTTGCTTCTCTCTTTGATTAGTTTCCATCCATTGCTTCTTGTCCTGCCTTCAGGCACTTTGGAAAATAGCTTGACTCCCTCTTCTTTGTGGCAGCCCCTGAGATATTGGAACACTGCTATCATGTCTCCCCCTCGTCCTTCTCTTCATTAAACTACTAGACATACCCAATTCCAGCAGTTGTTCCTTATATGCTTTAGCCTCCAGTCCCCTAATCATCTTTGTTGCTCTTCTCTGTACTCTTTCTAGAGTCTTAACATCTTTTTTACATCGTGATGACCAATGTGGCTGTGTTCCTGCCTCAGATGGCTCAAAATAAGCAGCATCAGATTTTTTCTGATGAAGAGTAGTTACTCTTGATTACCTTGAAGCAGCTCTTTTTTTCATGATTGGCTTTCTATGTATTTGCTAAAGGCAAACATGATATGTTCATTTGCTTTTTGGGTTAGGGGAGGTACCTAAGATTTAAGAGAAGGTGTAGACTATTTTGTCCTAGAGCTCAAATAACAAGCATTGCCAGCTGTTCTTTTTCAAAGATTGAATAAGATAGCAGAGAGGACAAGTAATTGTAAAAGTCTTTGTAATCATTTGTCAAAGAAACATATTCTAGACTGTTCCTGTTTCTTTATATTTTTTCTTTATTGTCTTTCACGAATGAACATTTTATTTAACTCCACGTCGAATGTGTTTTCCTCCTATGATGAAAAGTATAAATTGCAATATTTTTAGTTTTATCATGGTCATTATTGAAGTAATAATATAAATATGTATTTCATATTCTTGAGTTTATCTCAAATATCTACATGAAAGAATATTTTTGTTTGTAATCCATACACATTAATTTTTGGTATAAAGGCTGGAGAGCAACTTTTGATTATATCTATTCATATTCATAAGGATAACATAGCTCTGTAGTTTTACTAAATTGGCAATATAGCATCAGGAAATTGAAGTTTAATTAGTAATTACCATGGATGTAGCATAGAAGCTCAGAATACTGGAGAAAGAATTGCAGTCTCCAGAGAAAATAATTAGGAATAGAATCTTAAGAAAAAATTGCTTCTGGTTTGAAATTTGTTATTGCTGCCAACTTGTTCTTCCTTTCCAAAAGATCACCTTTCACTTTCAAAAGGATATTCCATATCCTCTGCCACCAAAACTGCATAACAAACTTCTCTGTATTGGAAAATAAATATTCTGCAGTTTCAGATGTGGCAGACAGTACCACAAATAGTAAAGTTTTGAATGAGGTTTGTGTATGTGTATATTGCTCTATAAATTTAATAACTTTGCATGGATAATGAAGTTAGTCACGTTCTTTGCAAAGCTGAGTCTATCTGGAAATATATATTTAGTGATGTAAATGTTTGTATGGTATTTGTAACTTTAAATATAATCTTTCTAGATGGAAGCAGAAGAAGATGGCTCTAAAAAGATAATGGGAATTGAATTTCAGAAGCTTCCTGCCAATTACCATAATGAATCCTACACAGATACAAAAGTTGGAAATAAAACTATACATAGACATCAAGAAATTGATAAGGTGAAATGTTTTTATTTATGCATTTGTATATGTATTTCATATAGTCTTCACTGATTTTCTTCAACTTAGTGTTCACCAGATGCATTGGTAGTATAAATTTCAGAAAGTACCCATCTGTAGTTTTTTAAAGATATGTTTGGTTTAAGAAGTTGCAGAGTTTGGAGTCTTATTTTATTATATACTTTGAAGCACCTTTTTGGCTTCAAATCTAAACTATTGCATAACTCTAATAAAATTTTGTGGCTTGGCCCTCCAGTTTCTGGTGAGATCTCCAGAAGCTCTTTTAAAGCAACTGTGGGCAACATTTTTTAACTGACTGCATACTTCTTACTTGCTGCATGGCTCCAAAAGCTGTATAAGAGAAAGGTTTAATAATGGCAGTGGTGGGGATATTGGGGGCATTTTGACACATTCTAAGGGTAAAAGTGAAATGTTTTTCCTCAGAGGCCTAATGTACTGATTCCTGCTTTATTTTTTTTTCTAAAAAAATAGCAGAAAGTTGCACAGCTAAACCTTGGCCATTTTTCCTCTAAAAATATAGATTAGAGATATTTCATAGATTCTGCAGGCTGCTCTAAAAAGCCTCTCCAGGTGAAACAGACCACTGCCTATAAGAGTTGACCAGCATTAAGCAGCACATCTAAAGGGCACACTATTAACCCCTTTTCAACATCATTAAAAAAAGTAAAAAACAGTCTTGGATTGCCACAGATCCCTCTCTGTAGTAAAATCGGTTTCATGACAGATTAGTCGTCTTCTTTTTTTTTTTTTGCAAATACTGGTTATGTTTGTAACTTCATTAACATGTAATTCCTTCAGATTTTTTATATATAATACTTCGTCTAGAGCACAGGTCAGTAACCTGCGGCTCCGGAGCCGCATGCAGCTCTTTGAGCCTTCCCCTATGGCTCCCAGCCTCCTCTGCCATTTGCAGAAAGAGACAGAGACAGAGAGAGACACTTGCGCTTCCCTGCTTCTCTCTCTGTCTGTCTCTGTGTCTGTGTGTGTTTGTGTGTAAAAGAGAGTGGACTCACGGTGTTCTCCGACAAGCTGAAAAGCTTTTGGGTGGGGCTCCTCCCTTTGCTGCATCTCTGCAGGAAGCAGGAAGCAGGAAGGGCAGATGAGAGCTATCTAGCTCAGCTATGCTGACTCAGGAATTCTGGGAGTTGAAGTCCATGAGTCATAAAAGAGCCGAGGTTGCCTACCCCTGAGCTTGTTGGAGAATAGCTTGAAGCCAGCTTGCCAGGTGAGCAGAAGATCGGAGAGGGGGGGAGAGGGAGAGAGGAAAGAGAGAGAGAGAAAGAAAGAGAGTGGGGGAAGAGGACTGGCAGACCAAGGGCAGAAAGAGAGGGAGGGAGGAAGAGAGAGGGAGACACAGAGAGAGAGAGACCCTTTTGACATCTAAAATGATTAATAAAGGTAAAAAAGGATATATGCAGTGTTATCTTCATTTTAGATATCAAAAGGGTTTTGTGGCTCCCAGTGTTTTGTTTTCTGTGGGAAACGGGTCCAAGTGGCTGTTTCAGTGTTTTGGGTTGCCTACCCCTGGTCTAGAGATACTGCCTGGTGTTCTGTGAAAGACTAAGGTCAAATCCCATCTCTCTGCTCCAAACTCAAATTCCACCAGTTTCATGACACAATTCCAAAGTGTCTGATTCATAATAATTATAAAGTGATAGTTCTGTTCATAGAGCTAAATAAAAAAAAGCACTGGAACATTATTTAAAATCATTGCTTTGCTGTGTACTTGTTTTACTCTCTTAGGTAACGGATAATAAAACTGGATCTACTAGCTACTCTGAGACTATTATTACATCAATACAAGAAGACAGAAAGAGAAATCATGTAAGTAATTCTTTTTTTGAAAAACAACATATCAGTAAATTTCTTGAGTAAAAGTTGTCAAAACCTATATGGCATAACTAAAACATAGGATTGTTTGAGTCCATTATAATATACATTATTTATATTTATAGGCTACTCTGGTGACTGTAATTTATAAGATAGGCCATTTTTCCAGGCATACTGCCATGCGTTTTAAAGTAATTATCACGAAATTCTCTAAATTATTGGGATGTTTGGTCTTGCAAATGGAAGATACTTGGAGGGAAAATTGCAATATAATTAATATTGATTTTAGCTTGCTTGTGGCTTTGATATGTAATTTCTGATTGTATGGATATGAAATATTTAGTGCAAACAGTATTGCTTAAGGCAATATGGAATAATATAATAACTTAATACAAGACACAGACGTGATCAGAAATTAGATTTGTACTCCTTGCTTCTGATTACAAAATAACCAGTAAGCTTTCCTCTGGGTTCCGTGATAAGCAGAGAAAATGTTGTAGAATAATCACCCATCCTTAAATCTATAACTTGTGTAACTTTCATTCACATGTTTTTATATAGATTTAATCATGCTATTTTTTATTTGGAATTCTCTTGAAAGTTAGTAGTAGATAACTGTTTAGACAACTATCTTTGAGATGTTTGAGAAAACTTGTGTTGTATCTTATGTTTCTACATATACTGATAAGATTGGTGAATCGGATATCTGCCACCTTTTTATCATTTCAAGAATAGACTTTTTAGGGCCTATTAAAAATTAAGCGTATTTCATTACATGTGAGAAGATCAATCACCAGAAAAGTTATTAGAAATGGTTTTAATGAAATAACTTGAGAGTCTTCCCCCCAAGAAGCTAAATTATATGTACCTTAGGCTTTAATTTACTTGAGAGATGCTATTTTTTCTTAAAATAATTTAAAATAGGAAAATTGTACTAGATTTTATGAGAATTATTTTTTCAGTCTAATCTGCCTTTCTTGGGGAGATTCATCTTTAACTCAGGCCCATCTTTCTTTCAAATAAATAGGTAAATATCCACCAATAAATAAATCATTAGGAGTGTAGTGGTATATGAATTCCTGGGAACTATTAACTTATGTATGGTATTAAAACTGATGGAAAAAGCACTAAAGTTTCAGTGCATTTATTGCTTACTGCTTACCTCAAATTTGATTTCAAATCTGCAGGTATAAACAATTTTGAAAACTGCAGCTGCTGTAGTCCAGCAAAAATAATGCTATCACACTAAAATGTTTTATTACTTGCTGTTTTCACTTTAACAAGAAGCCAAGTCTGCTGTAATATACTCTCAAAGTAATTAACAAATCAGTGCTGAAACAGAAGCAATAGAAACTAAAAACAGCAAATTAAAACCATACATTCATGTATTTTTTAGAAAGATGCATGTTTGGTTGAATGTAATTAAGATGGATAGGACATGGAGGAGAAATAAAAAAACAGTTCTTGCCATGGAAAAAATAATTACAGCTGATTGTACCATCCTTTGACTGTTGCTAGAGGATTTTAAATTGCACTCCCTTGAAGCATTGAAGATGTTACCTAGTCAGGTAATGAAATGTCTGCAAGAAAACAACCCAGTTCAGAGAGCACCACAGACTCCATTAGCCTCTGATTACTGTAAATACAGTAATGAAAGTGATTCTGATACCATCATAGTATAAGCCACAGTGATATCACATTAGTAGCATGTGCATGTTACTGTTGTTGTGGAAGAGGCCCAGTTATATAATTTATTTTTAATATGTGACAGCAGTTCACAAGTCATGTCATTTCTCTGATGACATCATGATGCACATGTCATCATTGTCTGCCCACTAGCTTTCATTACCAAACAGGAAACTTTTAAATTACTTTCAGTATGATAAAGGTGTATATTAAAAGGGTTAAATAACATTCTACTTGGTTCCTTTGTGTTTCTTTACCATACAGTTACAAGTAGTTTGTTCTGTTATACATTTTTTATGTAAACATAATCCGTATTTCCTGAAATAGGCTTATTTCTTAGTTGTCATGTTTAGGATCATTTCTGCCCTACCTGTAAGGATGTGTCTTAATTTTCCTTTAAATATTGTTTTCAATAAAAACAAAAACTATTTCTCAATATTATTATCACCACGTCAATTTTTGTGTTTTGTTTAGGAATGTGATAATGAGGTTTTTAACAGAGGAAAGCATGTAAATCATAATAACAGGGTTGCATGGGTAATGCATGTGTAGAAAAAAAAAGCCTTTACATTTTAAAGTTAAAGGTTTTAGATCAGATGTTATAAATACGCTCTGGTGTCACATGGATTCCATTTTATATTTGTTGAAGGATACCTCTTGAGGGCCCCAAATTCTTGTTGACTACAGGATCTGCTATTAATTGCCTGCAGATACTGTCATATTTGTTTCATAGAGCAGTTCAACAGAATGGATTTCTCTTCTCTGAGACAAAGTGATTCTGTTTATGATTCATTCTTGCGTACTGAGTGTTCTTTCCATGACTATTGTGTGCATATTGTGCATCTGAGCAGAAAGAACTGGTATGTTGATTTTTAAAAAAATGTTTTTGAGTTAGACTGGACCAGATATTTAGGATTTTACGACAAACATCTCATCTACTAGATGAGAAGAGGGAGTCAAGCTATTCTCCAAAGTACCTGAAGGCAAGACAAGAAGCAATGGATGGAAACTAATCAAAGAGAGAAGCAACCTAGAACTAAGGAGAAATTTCCTGACATCGAGAACAATAATCAGTGGAACAACCTGCCTCCAGAAGTTGTGAATGCTTCAACACTAGACATTTTTAAGAAGAGACTGGACAGCCATTTGTCTGAAATGGTATAGGGTTTCTATACCAGGGGGTTGGACTAGAAGACTTCCAAAGTCCCTTCCAACTCTATTACTATTATTATTGTTATTATTTACTATGACTCTGTCTTACAAATGTTAGTGTTTGTATGGAGGGTGTCCTTTCTTCCGATCTAAGAAATAAGATGGAAACCTCTTTTTTGACACTTAACCTATACTGCAGGGAAGTAAGGGCCAACTTTTTAACATAACAAAAACATGTATTCAGTTTAATGGTTGAGAGAAAAGAACTCTGGTCTTATTGGTTAAACAGTACATCATTTTGTTAATAACTCCACATTTGGCTTTATTGTCACTAACTTAGCAAAGCTAATCAGACATAACTTTTTGGTGTATCTTCACAGGAAAAAGGATTTTTTCCACACCTGGATTCTGCGACATGCTGCTATAGATATTATCAGCATAATAAGCAACATGTTTATGCAGCCCAGCAGTTGAACAAAAAAGATAGTCATAAAATTTGGAAATATTCTTCATGTTCTATATTTTAGGGAATGTAGCATTGCAAGGATCTAAAAAGTCAACTTCTTATTTTTAACCAGAAGATAAAACATTTGGAACAAGTCTTTTAAAAAAAGTCATCATTCTCATTGCTTTCCTTTTCTGAAAGGGATAACTCACAACTGGATTACAACCACTAACATAATTTTGTCTCACTTGTGGAACTGCATTGGATTGAACACAGTTGATAGAAGGAGACCAGGTTTTTCATTGGTTTCTAGATTGTGACTAGCAGTTTGTTTTATCCATCCACCCATCCAGGTTAGATCAAGCCACGGTAATTGCACTTGTAATTTGATCAATACTGTGTTTCCCTGAAAGTAAGGCCCGGTCTTATTTTGCCTCCAAAAGAGGCATTAGGTTTTATTTTCAGAGGGTGTCTTATAATTTTCATGATACCTGCCTCGCCTCACGGCGGCGGCACCAACAGCCCTATCCAGCAGGAGCCCACATGGCTGATGGCCCACTTCTGTGCAACCGCTGGTGGCAGGAGGCCACGTGGCATATTGCACCACTGCTGCCACAACGAGGCGAAGCAGTTGGAGTGGGGGGGAGCTGCCACATGCACCCCATAGCTGCTTCCTTCAGCCCCGCCCCTAGCCAGGTCATTCCTTGCTCGGTGACCTTCCCTTTCACTCCCCACCCAAGCCGGACTGCCATGCTATGGAGGATGGGTGAGGTAGGCCCGGTCCCCCCCTGCCGTTTTGGAGCCAGGGGGGAGTGATGGCGAAAGGCTATGTTGCTGCTATGCGCTGCTGGAGGGGCTTTCTTCATGCTTCACCCAACAGATAACCTGCTCGGCAGCTGCTGCTGCCTCCGCCAACTCTCCTGTGGCTTGTGCCATGACTAGGTGGCACAAGCCTCCCCCGACACCTCCCTCCACCAGTCCTCTGTCGCCGCCATTGGGGAGAATGGGAATGGAGCGGCTCTGCACAGTGATGCAGACCAGAGAAGAGCACTTGCTTGCCGCCCTGCATCACCCTGCATATTCCTTCTCCGTTCTGGAAATGGCAGCCCCATTTCCTGCTGATTCTCCTCCTGAAAGCAAAAAAATTCAACACTAACCTGCTTTCCAGCTCTGGCGCGTTTCTCTCCTGCTGCAGAGAAACAGAGTTTGTGGGACTAAAAATAGTTCAGTCAGACCGTCCAACTTCTCGCAAGATTGTTTTTTCCGTGAGAAAAAAACCCCTCCCCTCTGGCTCTGAAATGGCAGAGGGGAACCGGGCCTATCCCACCCATCCTCCGGAGCATGGCAGACCAGCTCGGGAGGGAAATGAAAGGGAAGGTCACCGAGCAAGAAATGGCCTGGCTGGGGGGGGGGGCTGAAGGAAGTGGGTACGGGGCTCATGGGACAGCTCTGCCTCACTTCATTATGGTGGCAGCAGCGCGATATGGCAGCGGTGTGATGTACTGCACAGCCTCCTGCCCCATTGCGGTAGCAAGGTGGGATGGATTGGTGAGGTCCTAATTTTTGGAGTAGGGCTTATTTTTGGAGTAGGGCTTATATTAGGCCCACCCCAAAAATCAGGGTAGGTCTTTTTTGGAGGGTGGGGCTTATTTTCAGGAAAACATGATAGTAGTATACTTAATACTGCCTCAGCAGGTGGCAACTGCTCAGATGATCTTAGTAGCTAAATAGGAATCGGCCGTGGTTAGCATTTGGGTGAGGATGCCAAGAATTTTAGTGGAGTTAATCAATTTGGGAAGTTGTAGAAACCTTTTAGAAGAAGGATGTGATGAATCTTTTCTGTGGATGCTGTCTTCAGGAGATAAGCTTGATTTGAGGGTGTCTTTACTTTTGCTTCTTTTAGTGAAGACATTTGACTTTTATCCATGTATGCAGTTCTTATGCTGTCTACATGGTTCGTAGATTTTTCCATGGAGACTTGCTGGAACCCTTTCTTTAAAAGGTCTTACAGCTAAAGTACTCTTGATTCTTACATGAAACATAGCATATTTCCATATTCAATCCATATTCAAATATTCAAGATAGTGCCTTAAAAAAAATAAATCAGAGAAGGAAAGGCAGGGAAAAAACACATTAAATATTTAGTCTTCAGATGGGCCAAGCAGAATGAGTGGAAAACTTAATAGCTATCAGCAGGAGACTTTTGGACAAGAAGGAGCTGCTGCAAAGAATTAAAACAGACGTGATTGCTTTTTTTTCCTGTCAGAAGAGAGCTACATATTGAGACCGACAGCATGAATGCTGGCCATCGAACCAACATCAGGAATATAAATCAGACTTTATGGGAGGAGGGCTTTTGGAAGTAACTATTACTTTGTGGAAGCATGGCTAGGAAAGCCATAGATACTCAAATATACCTAAGTAAGGCTAATAGTAATAGGAGTAGAAGTTTAAAAGGAGAGCCAAACAGGGAAGCCACTCTTCAGTAGGGTAAAGCCTTGTTTTATCCAGAACTGTTGGACTTCAGTTCTGATAACACCTTGTCACAGGGATTGCTAAATGTAAGCGTATTTGCACAGCCTTTGTTCGTTCATAATAAGGATGCAGGAAATGGGTGGAGAGGCTCACTCTTTGTTTAATAAAATCCAAGACACCTTGGGTCTGGTTAATCCATTATTTCCTTGGTTTGTCTTCAGGGTTCAGTCTTCAGTTTATGCAACTATGAATCAATAACTTTGATCACTCAGTGAAATTCTTGGTCAAATTTAAATTATGAGGGGAAAATTGTTTCACTTTTTTGGTATAACTTGGAAGTTTAATCACTAAATCAGTGTTAGGGAAAATTTTCTTCAGTACAGTAAGTTACTGTGGAATGTATTTGCTATGTGCATATAGTTCTTAACTTTTGAGCCTTGAGTTTCGGTCTAAGTTGTTGCAATAGTAAAGTTGAGGCACCATGTGATTGGACTTGTTATGTGAATCACATGGCCATTAAACAAATCAATTTTCTGAATGGGCAGTTTTTGCATTGCAAATCATAGTGTCATGGTTCCAACAGACAGAGACAAATAAAGCAGAACTCCAAGGCTTGCAAGTTCCTCAAAGAACATGTTTATTGATACAAAGTATCGGCATGTCAAAAATGAAACCAAGTCTGAATAGACAGTAACAATTCTCAATACAAAGTTAAGAAATCCACCCTAAAGCTATGCATGCTATATTTCCCGATACAACTTCTTGGCGGGCTTTTCACAAAATGCCCAGCCTGTAGTTCTGGGAGTAGCCGATGACCTTGGTCCCCACGGGAGAAAATCTGTTTAGCGAAGCATCTGGTAAACCCCCCTCCCTCCATGCTATGTGCCAACCGAAAATGAGTAGGAAAATGGCTGCAGCCACGCTCATTTTCAAAGTTGACACATAGTTATGTAATTACAGCTCACTGTAAATATAAGTCAGTTGCCTAGTGCCTCCCCATCACATGACTGCAGTTGAGGGGGAGCTGTAGTTGTAACTTTGAAGATGGGTTGTAAGTAGCTTTTAAAAAATTTGTAACTTCAACCAGTTGTTAGACTGCCTGTATTTTTTTATTTATTTGATGTATGTATTGAAAAAAGTGTACCAAAGTGTTAGACTCTTTTGTGTTGTTGGAATGTTTGATTTTATATGATTAAATAAATTAGTCCAGTACAATGTTAGGCAATCAGTCAGGGAGAGCCATATATACAGACCAGTTTTTCTTGTTTTCATGTTGGAAGAAATGTGCACTTTATATGTATTTGGTCTGTAGTCTGGGGCATGTAATTTGGAGAAAACTCATCAAAGAGATAGTCTAAAGCAGTGTTTCCCAAACTTGACAATTTTAAGGCATGTGGACTTCAACTCCCAGAATTCCACAGCCAGCAATGCTGGCTGTGGAATTCTGGGAGTTGAAGTCCACATGCCTTAAAATTGTCAAGTTTGGGAAACACTGGTCTAAAGCACTTTTGAAACATTAGGATCAGATGGGCTGTATAGAAACACTGTATGTAATTCTTTTTGGGGCACCAGGATTGTTTTGTTACTCTTGTTATGTAATGCAGTATTGAGACACTGCTATCCTAGGCGCCTTTGGAGCAAAAATGCATCTTTGGTCGCATGCAGTTTTACTGAATAACCACACTTTTCTTTTACTGAAGATTTGTTATTCTTTTTCTCAGGAATGCATAATAGATGAAGACTGTGAAATTGGAAAATACTGTGCATTCTCTGATTTGATGTACAACTGTCACATTTGCAAATCTCAACACACAGTGAGCATTTCATCTTTATCCACTTTTTTTTCTATCTATAAGTTGATAAGTTAGGGTTAAATTTTAGAAGATTGAATATCAGGCTATCTTTGTTGCATTATGCCTACGCGTAATGTCTCACCTGAAGGTTCTAGAACCTGACAATTTTGTGCATAAACAAGACAGTTTCTAAAATTGGAAAAGCATAGATAAAATGTTTTCTGAATACTTGCACTTTATTACCCAATTCTGTAAAATGTAAAATATGTTTTAGATCAAGATCACGCGAAGTATTAATACCACTTTACAATGCCTTGGTAAGGCCACACTTAGAATACTGCATCCAGTTTTGGTCACCATGATGTAAAAAAGATGTTGAGACTCTAGAAAGAGTACAGAGAAGAACAACAAAGATGATTAGAGGCCAAAACATATAAGGAATAGTTGCTGGAATTGGGTATATCTAGTTTAATGAAAAGAAGGATGAGGGGGGACATGAGAGCAGTATTCCAATATCTCAGGAGCTGCCACAAAGAAGAGGGAGTCAAGCTATTTTCCAAAGCGCCTGAAGGCAGGACAAGAAGCAACAGGTACTAACCAAAGAGAGTAGCAACCTAGAACTAAGGAGAAACTTTCTGACAGTTAGAACAATTAACCAGTGGAACAACCTGCCTCCAGAAGCGGTGAATGCTCCAACACTGGAAGTTTTTAAGAAGAGACTGGACAGCTATTTATCCGAAATGGTATAGGGTTTCCTGCCTGAGCAGGGGGTTGGACTAGATGACCTCCAAGATCCCTTCCAACTTATTATTATTATTATTATATCAGTGATTCTCAAACATTTTGGTTGCAGGACATCTTTATATTATTAAAAATTATTTAAGACTCCAAAGAGATTTGGTTTATGTGGATTATATCTAATAATATTTTCTCTATTAGAAATTAAAGCTGAGAAATTATTTATTTATTTGACTTTGTGGATTTCATGAAATGGTCTCCCCAGACCATTTGAGAACTGCTGTTCTAGATCAACCACCAAATTTTGATGCCTTCCAGGTATATAGACTTATAAATTCTCAGGAATCGCTATGCTGATAGTGGAAATCCATGCGCTACAGAATATCCAGAGTGGGAAAGTGTATGTCTGTTTTAATTCAATTTTTAATAAATTGGGGTCTTTTCAGATAAAATGAAGCTTCTAGGACATAAGGAGAAATATTCTTTATTCTGGTTTAAACTAATTGGAGTTTTATCTAGTGACACTCAAGAGGAACTGTAATTATAGTTAGACAAACTTCAATTACTTTCATATGCTTTCATATACAGCTCATGGTCTAGTTTTTATTTTCTAACTAGAATCTTCGTATTTTGATACAATTGTCTATCTTCTTAAGTAGATTAAGGGTTTGAAAAATCCAACGTCCTTTTAAAATTTTAAATTGAATTGGCCTAAAATGATTATTACCTTAGAATGTGATTCATGAAGATATCTTGTTAGTCTTATTTAAGAACATAGTTCAAATTGCACTGAAATAGTCTGAAAAATATTTTAGAAGATATTTAATGACAGAATATGTAGCCTAGGATCTAGAAGGGAAAACTCAATATTTCCTGTCACAAATACTATTCTTTATTATAGCCCGAGCCTGCAAAGATGAAGTGAGGAATGCTAAGGCTCAAAATGAACTAAGGCTTGCCACAAAAGTCAAAAATAACAAAAAAAGAGGTTCTTTCAACATGTAAAAAACAAGACAAAAAGTTAAGGAAATGATTGGTCCATTAGTGGGAGAAAGTGGCAAGAAGGTGACAAGCAACAGAGAGAAACTAGAACTATTTAACTCATTTTTTTCATCTGTCTTTACAAAAAGAAAAAAAACAGTCCAAACTATCAAAAACAGTATTGGAAACAGAAGTTAAGATCGGCAAGAAAATGGTAAGTGAGCACCTGTCCACCCTAGGATCAGATGGATTACACCCCAAGGTTCTGAACGAACTGGCAGATGTGATCTCAGAACCACTGAACTATATTTTTCAAAGATCCTGGAGGACTGGGGAACTACCAGAGGACTGGAAAAGAGCTGTTGTAGTTCCCGTCTTCAAAAAAGGAAAAAAAATGGATCCAGGAAACTACAGACTAATCAGCCTGACCTCAATACCTGGGAAGATTCTGGAAAAGATAAGCAACAAATCAGTGAAGATAATCAAACAACGAATCAACGAACACCTAGAGGCAAACAAAGTCATTACCAAAAGCCAGCATGGGTTTGTCAAAAACAGATCATGCCAGACAAATCTTACTGTGTTCTTTGATCAAGTGACCAGAGGAATTCTGTGGATATAATTTACTTAGACTTCAGTATGGCATTTGATAAAGTAGACCACAACCTACTACTTGATAAGATAGAAAAATGTGGATGGAGGTACAGAAGGATTTAAAAAATTGGAACAATCTACAGTTATCCCTTATGGGTAGAATTGCAGTTATCAAGATGAATGTCCTGCCAAAGTTTATTTTTTTGTTTCAAATGTTACCTATTTTAAAGAATGAACGTAATTTAGATGAATGGCAAAAAGGTATTAATAAATTTGTTTGGGCAGGGAAAAAACCAAGGGTGAAACTTAAAATAATGCAAGATTTTCGTGAGAGAGGAGGACTCAAGGTACCAAATATGAAATTGTATTATGATGCTGTAGTATTAACATTGATCAGCGACTGGGTGAATTTAACAAATATAGAAATACTTCATTTGGAAGGTTGTGACTTACTTTTTGGATGGCATGCCTATTTAATATTTAATAAAAAAGTGGATTGGGTTTTTAAGTCTCATATTATAAGAATCTCTTTGCTTAGATTGTGGAGAAAGTATTATAAAAGTGACTTCAAAATACCATTATGGGCTATACCTCGGCATGCCATAGAAGGCATAAGGAAAGGGGTTAATATGGACATGGTCTCTTATGCACAGTTACTTAGATGGGATGGCCAAGATTGGCAGTTAAAATCTTTGGAAGAATTAACGCACGAAAATTTAACTTATTCATGGTTCCAATACAGACAAATAGTGGACAGATGGAAGATGGATTGTAAAATGGGCTGGCTCAGAGAAGATGAAGTTCTTTTAAAACAAGTAAGAGATCAAAGGCCAACCCATATTAAGAGAGTTTATGGGGTTTTAGTGGAATTGGACTCAGAACCTGAATTAGTTAAAGATTGTATGATTAAATGGGCACAGAATAATGGTGAAACGATTTCAATGGATACCTGGGAACTTATTTGGATAAGAAATGTTAAATTCACACAAGCGCAAAATTTAAGAGAGAATTTTTATAAGATGTTTTATAGATGGCACCTTGATCCAAAGAAAATGTCCATTATGTAACCTAATCTGCAGCCGAAATGCTGGAGATGTGGACATTTGGATGCTACTTATTATCATACTTGGTGGACGTGTAAGCATATAAAAGCTTTTTGGATTAAGATATGGTGGAATATCCAAAGAATTTTTAAACGGAGGGTAAAATTTACTCCGCAATTATTTTTATTAGGTATTGTTACTGATTGTGATGCTAAGGAGGTTATATTGATGTTAAATTTGATTACAGCCGCTAGGCTGTTAATAGGGCAATATTGGAAGAAGGAATCCTTGCCTATTTTGCAAGAGTGGTTTCACAAAGTTTCGTATCTGGCAGAAATGGCAAAGATTTCGGCTTTTTTAAAGGAGCAATCTCAAGAGAAATTTTTTGCAGTATGGGAAAAATGGATAAATTTCATACAATATAATTTGGATATGGAAAAATAACATTTAGCTTTTTTATAACTTGTAATGATTGTTTTTTCCTTCTTTCTTTCTTCCTTTTTTTCTTTACGTATTATTACTTATATATATATATTTTTTATATATATGTTCTATTTTTCGTCTACTTTTTTCTTTTTTCTTTCTCTCTCTCTTTTCTTTTCCCTTTTTTTTTCTTTCTTTCTTTTTTAGTATATATTATTCATTTTAAAGCTTATGTTATGCATATTATTATTACATATATTATTATATATATTATTATTATGACCTTTATTATTTTTATTAATTATCTTATAAATTGTAAACGTTATTTTTTAAAATTTGTTAAATAATCCTATATTCAGTTCTGGGAAGTCGGGGGGGGGGGAGGGTGGGGTGGTTTGGGAGGGGGGGGGATGTTTATTTGTAAAATTTTTGAAAAATTTCAATTAAAAAAAAAAAAAAAAGATAGAAAAATGTGGGTTAGACAGCATCACCACCAGATGGATTCGTAGCTGGCTGACTGGCCGAACTCAGCGTGTGGTCCTCAATGGAACCACATGGAGGGAAGTGTGTAGTGAGGTGTCCCAGGGCTCTTCTGGACCCAGTGCTTTCAACATCTTCATCAATGATTTGAATGAGGGGACAGATGGGGAACTCAACAAAATTGCAGACGACACACAGTTGGTAGGAATAGCCAACACTCCAGAAGACAGGCTTAAGATACAGAAGGATCTGGACAGACTTGAACATTGGACGCTATCTAACAAAATGAAATTCAATAATGGAAAAAAGTAAGGTTCTACATTTAGGCAAGAAAAACCAAATGCACAGGTATAGTAGGTGGTACTTTGCTCAATAGGAGTAACTGTGAGAGGGATCTTGGAGTCCTAGTGGACAATCACTTAAATATGAGCCATCAATGTGCTGCAGCTGCCAAAAAAGCCAACACAGTCCTAGGCTGCATTAACAGAGGAATAGAAGTGTTACTACCACTTTACAAGTGGTAAGGCCAACTTGGAATACTGCATCCAGTTTTGGTCACCATGATGTAAAAAAGATGTTGAGACTCTAGAAAGAGTACAGAGAAGAGCAACAAAGATGATTAGGGGACTGGAGGCTAAAACATATAAGGAACGGTTGCTGGAATTGGGTATGTCTAGTTTAACAAAGAGAAGGACGAGGGGGGACATGATAGCAGGGTTCCAATATCTCAGGGGCTGCCACAAAGAAGAGGGAGTCAAGCTATCCTCCAAAGCACCTGAAGGTAGGACAAGAAGCAACGGATGGAAACTAACCAAAGAGAGAAGCAACCTAGAATTAAGGAGAAATTTCCTGACAAAACAATTAACCAGTGGAACAACCTGCCTCCAGAAGCGGTGAATGCTCCAACACTGGAAGTTTTTAAGAAGAGACTGGACAGCCATTTGTTTGAAATGGTATAGGGTTTCTTGTCTGAGCCGGGGGTTGGACCAGATGACCTCCAAGGTCCCTTCCAATTATTATTATTATAAATTATTATTATCATCATCATCGTTATTCTTGTTTGCTTGAAATTCTTCAAAAATAACTTGCTTTCCATTGTGCACAGTTGTCTTGTACTATAGTAAATGTTTAAATCAGTTTAGCAATTAAAATAGCATATTACATTAATTCATTGCAGTATATATTCTTTGGGTATTATTTTATGAACATTTTTTCTCTTTTCCATAAACAGACTGTCAGATGACGGTTTGAATATTTTTCCTCTGTATCACTGCACTAACATTGTAGTGTCACTGCAAATTTCATCATGTTCTCTTCTAAAACAATAAAAAATACAGGCACTTTTAAAATCTCCAGACTGATTTGAGATTTGACATGCATTGCTGTTATATCTGTTTGCCTGTAAATTTCATTTCCTTTTTTTTTGTTGTTGAGAGAAAAATAAGTACACAGTGAGAGACACCCAAGTTCAATTTTTCCAAATCTCACTGTTGTTCAGTGATGGGATTCAGCCAGTTTGCACCAGTTCAGCAGAACCAGTAGCTAATTTTTTGTTGTCCAGGCCCAGAATGGACGTCCGGAAGCAGCATCCACACAGAGAACTGGTTGTTCACTTATTTAAATCCCATCACTGCTGTAGATCCTTATTAGATCAGATCAGAATGCTTCCAGTAAGTTTTTCCGGTGGGCATTTTCTTTCTTTTTTTTTTTTTAAGCACTGTTCTCGGGATGTGGAGTGTTGTGGACAACAGCTCTGTGTATGGGGTGAGTGCATGAAAGCTGTCTCAAAAGGAGAAAATGGGACAATTTGTGAAAATCAACATGACTGCAATCCGGGTTTGTGCTGTGCATTTACAAAAGGTCAGTTACTTTTATATTTAATTTTTTTCCTCTTGTTTCCTCTAGATTAGTGATGGCGAGCCTTTTAGAGACCGAGTGCCCAAAAACTGGCCCTGCCCCCGCTCCACCCCCCCCCCTGCCTGCCCCTGCTCTGCCCCCCCAGGACCACTCACCACCTCCAGGGCCCGCCGCAGATCTCCCAGGCAGCCCAGCAGTGCTATGGTGGCCACACCCTCTGCCTGCGCACTGCAGGATCAACTGCATGATGGGGTGTGAGGGCAGAGTCTTGTCTATGCTGCCTGGCTGCCATGTCCTTGGCTGCGCTGCTCCGTGTGGACCATGCTCGAGAGCGAGTCTCCTTCAGAGGGGCTGCTGGAGAGGAGGGGGTCACGGGGGGAGGCAAAGCTGGGGCAATGGCACGTGTGCCCACAGAGAGGGCTTCAAGTGCCGCCTCTGGCACCCATGCCATAGGTTCGCCACCACTGATCTAGATAATTAGCAGAACAAGTTACAGCATTTGCATATGTGTTTGTATTTCTGTTAAGATATTAAATGTTGTTAATATTTAAGTACTGCTTTGTATCAAAGAGAGATGATCTAATGTAACATTCTTCACAAGTAAGCATCATGTTTCAAATGAGCAGATCTTCTAAGATTTCATTTTAGCGAAGAGCAGATTCCTTACAGGAAAATAGAGTGAGTAAACAGAGAGACCTAGTGGATTTGCTTAGGGCAGTGGTTCTCAACCTTTTTAATGCTGCGACCCCCAACCGGTCGTAGGTCGAGGACTACCCAACCAGTCGTAAGTCGAGGACTTTCCTTGCCCAGGAGCGCCGCGCATGTGTTGTGCCGCCCCCTGCGCCAGCCGAGGCGTAGCTGGCAAGCAGCAGAGACGGAGCAGGCCGACCACCGGCTGGGCCACCAGCTGGCCCAGCCCAAGGGAGGTAACGCACCCGCCGGGCCCCACGCGCACCAGCAACCCTCCCTGTGCCTGCCAGCCTCCCACCTCCCACCCCTGGCCCTCTTTTACTTACATTTTTAGTAGTTGCTCAGCAGGGAGGGGTGGAAGCTTCCAGACAGCTCGCCTTCACTGCAGACAACTTGCGGCACCGTTTGCAGAATGGGAGTTTTGGCGGGCTCAGCAGGGCAGAGACAGCCTGGACAATTCCTATTGGCTTTTGAAAGCCAATAGAATTAGACTCTATTCAAGAGAGTCTATTCTATTGGCTGTCAAAAGCCAATAGAATAAAAGGGAGTAGCACAGTTAAGGAAAAGGGGGAAAAAATGGCGGACTGCATTGTTTGGCGACCCCCGTGAAATGGTCATTCGAACCCAAATGGGGTTGCGACCCACAAGTTGAGAACCGCTGGCTTAGGGAATTCAGCAGGGGAATTCAAGGGGATTCTATCACAATGAAGAATTTGTGCTTAACCTGAGAAAAGGACAAGAACAAACAGTATACAGCCAGTAGAAAGGTTTTTAAGAAGATGGACAGAAATTCCATTTTGACCCACATTGCTTATAGCATATTTTGCTGCCTGAAAAAAAAAACTGGAATATATTTGCATCAAATAATGCTTGTTGCTTTCCTTGAAATAAAAGTCCAAGAATTGGATCAATGAGAGATAATATTTCACTTGTAAAAATGTGAAGTGGATTGATCAGTTCAAAAAGAAGTTCCACGGCAGAAATGTATAATGGAAGCATTCCTCCATAAAAAGGCAGATAAATAGAGCTCCATAGTGCAGTAAATGAAAGTAACAGGCAGAAGCAAGAGAGATATGGCCTATTCTTCACTACTGGAAATCAATAATGGCTTTCAGGCCCTCATATGAAATAGACTGAATGTTCAGAGGAAGAAAAAGACAATAGAAGAAGAGGAGAATCATAAATCTCCAGAAGATAGCTATGCCCTAAACGAAGATAAAGGCAAGAGTTGTGATAGCTGGTGATTTACTATTGTAAGAAATTGTATGGCATTTGGGGCCACTGGCTTGTGAAATTATTGTCTGCCAGAGCAAGAATAAAAGTATAGATAGAATATTTTTCAAATCTTATCAAGTCTGGTGACAGTTATTTTTTCCTGCTGACATATGTGAGGACAAGAGATACTGCAAAGAACAGGCACAGTTACATTACTCTAGAGTTCTTGGGAGAAAGTTTAGTATATTGACAGCTTCTTACTATCCTTCCAGTCCACCGAAGATGCCCAGAAAGAGAAATCTGGGTAAGCAGATTGTGTCAACAAAAGGTAGTCTTTGTTTATTGATGACAATTGAGCCCGGAATTTTGATTGAAAGTTGTTGCGGTCATTAAGATATCCACATGACCACTTCATTTAACAACTGCAATCCCAGCTCCCCCAGTTGTGGTTAAGCAACCATGTGGGTTATTGAGGGGATGGAGTGAAAGAGATGCCTGCCAAAGGAGGGCAGCTCTTTCTCTCTGGCACAGAAGGGAACCCCTTGCGTTGGCAAACTGAATGGGGATTGGATTTTTGGGATCCAAGTTTAGTTGGTCCAGAACTGGAGTCCCCTCCCCACACTTAGTGCAGAGAAGGATCCTTTCAGCCAACACATTTGACAGCAAAAGCATTGCTTTCCAGATTGATTTGGCCTTGTGCAGGTGGACTCTCTCTGCCAAGTAGTTCTTTCACTTTCAAAAGAGGCTGGCTGAAAAAGGTCTGCCTACAATCTTAGCAAAAATCCAAAAATCCAGCCTCCAGGAACCAGTGAAATGGCAGCGGCTTACAACCTTGCCTACCAGATGAAGCTGTCAGGGAAGATTGCAAATGGCGACCACATGATTGCAGGACTCTCGGCAACCTATCATAAGTATGAAGTGTTGTCAAACATTCAGATTGCAATCGTGATAATGGGGATGGGATGGGGTGAATGCTACAACAGTTGTAAACTTGGATATGGATTGTAAGTCCCTTCATTCAGTGCTGTGATAATTTTTAATGGCCACTGAACAGATGGTCATTTACCAAAGAGTTATATTGCATGTTTGAATATCCATCCTTGCTAAGAAGTATGAATTAATTTGGCAATGTTATAAACCTATCCAGCCAAGGTGAATACATGGATGATAGCTTCCAAACACAAATTGTAGATATTTCAAAGATTCAGGAAGGAAGGAAGCAAGCTGAAACTGATTATAGTCAAACATAATCTTGGACCTAAAAAAAAAAAAAAAAAAGCAGATGGAAATTCCTAAAGAAGGAAGTGGCTACTCAAAAAGCTTAGTGAAGCTTGAAAACAAGAATGCAGAAAGAGAGATCACAAAGCAGGTCACATAGGCCAGCATAATGGAGCCGCTGTCAGTATATGAAAACTCAGAGATTAGCAAAAGATTGTAATAATTAAAAAAGGCTTTGTGGGAAGACAATACTCATTGATTCCATTTATCCCTCACATCATTCGCATACAGCTTAACTTTAAAACCATGGGCAAGGCGAGAGAGAATTGAACTCTGTATAGCATGGGACTCAGGTTGCGGTCAAGGTTAAATCACTCTGTGGATCTGAGGAAATTTCAGCCAATAAACTGGGTGGCAGTCAGGTGAATGAATGAAAGTAAAAGGCTTTTATATTATGAGTAGTTATGGCCTTGCCAGCAGCAGCTGAGCATGCCAAATGGGGAACAGCTGAGGCCACAGTAGACTCAGCTTACACAAGGCTCCAGTTGGGACCAGCCAGGATCACACCTGCTGATGTTGAGAGAAGCTCAACTAAAGTAAGCAGCCACCAGTACAATCCAACAGCCTTCCGGTCCTGCTCAGCAACTGGGAGCATCCACTGACAAGTGATAAAGAAAGGGATATTGAAGGGAAATAGAGAGCTCCAAGAAGTCCCATGTTGTAGATCCCTGATCATAGTAGTATTGTGCATGTGAAGGAATAAGGCTAGAGAGGAGAAAAGAAATAAATACATAGGTACTAGCTTGGAGAAAGCCAACCTCTAAAAATCGGGGCTCACACCAGTGGTGGCAGTTGGGCAGGCACCACCCTTCAGGAAGGAAAGAGAACTCTCTTAGTCCAAAAGTTCAGGGGCAAAAACATCCTGAAGTAGCAGGTTAGTTATCTCCATACAAATATCCAGTGGAATTAGGCACACTATCTGCAAAAGGATATCCTGGTTAAGTTCCCCATCCTTCATGAATAGGAGTAAAGCTTAGCTTCTCAGTAAGAAATGCAGTCCGGGAAAACAGCCAAGAGTGAAATAGCCCAGATAGAGATGAACAGGTGCAAGTTTGGAACGTTTCCCAGAAAGTTCGTTCAAAGTGGAAATGGAAAGTTAAAAGCCTTCTTAGTGTCTATAACAACAGAGGAGAAAGAAAGTTTAACCTAGAGCTGGTCTGTGTATGGCCTGAATTTTTGTACCATCCTGAATCTGTGACCGGCTTATCTATTGTCAGAATAAAAGGAAAAAGAATCAATAGACTAGCTGCTCAGCAAGAAAAACAAAATGCTAACAAGTAACAAAGGAAAGATAGATCTAGATTCTAGTCAGTTCTTATTTTGGTTCAGTTTTCTTTGTGTTCCCACAAGACAATGTGAAGGGCAGGAGGAAAGAAGAAAAATTCATAGAAATATGATTAGGAAGTGAAGTCCATTCTCAGGGACCACATGAATTGCATACTAGGTTACTGGAGGAACTAATAGACTAAGTGAAAATTCATATGTTATCTTTGAGAAGTCCTGAAGAACTGATGAAAAGCCAGATAACCAAAGGACAGTATGTATTTATAAAGATTATCTTATCTTATTTCTATCGTCAAAAAAGGGGAAAAGAATGATCCAACAAACTGCATGATAATTAATCTGACGTTGACATCTGGGAAGAATCTAGAGGAGGAATAAAGATTTTGATCTGTAACCACCTTGCCAATATGATGGCAATTACCAGAAGTCATCATGGATTTGTCAATAACATACCTTGCTAGATTAATCTTGACACAATTTTTGAGATTTATTTCTGAAATAACTGCCAGAAAGCTGTAGGCATAGCTGAAGTTCAGTAAAGCATTTCATTGAGTCAGCTGTGTCATGAAACTTAGCAAGCTATTTAAGCATGTACTGGATGATTGGATGGACAGTTAAGCAGATAGATGCTAACCTGAAAATTGTACAGGTAGTCCTCAACTCATGGGGTCTGCCCTTTTTGGTTGCAAGTGGTGATGGTCATTAAGGTTGGATGGGAAGTAGGCCTAGCCCTACAGAATCTAACTCTTCCATGTGTTGATAGCTTCTGGCAACCAGCTTTAGGCTCCCTTGTATGGCTTAATGGCCAGGTTGGGAGCAGTTGGGATGGGCGGGGGAAATAAGGGGGTTGCAGCATTCCTGCAGTTGAGTCATAAGTTTAAACAAAGATGGGAGGGCACTACAGTGCCCATAACTTTGAAACCAGATGATAAATATCTTTTGGGCAGTCTATTGTAACTTCAAAGAGTCACTAAGCAACCAGTTGTAAGTCGAGAACTATTTTTATTTACTGAGTACTTACCGGTGGCTCATTATCAAACATAGCCAATAGGTATCATAAAGATCAGCCTTGGATCCTTGATGCTTTAGTATGCTTACTAAGATTTGAATACAAATGCTTATCAAATTTACAAATGATACTGAATTGGATGGGATAGTGAATACTGTAGACAAATTCAAAATGTTCCTAATAGATTGGAACAATGTGTTATGAAGAACTGAGTGAAATTTAACAGATATAAGTGCAAAATTTAGTTTTTGCACTTAGTTTTAGGGAAACTTTGGTTTTCCTAAGGAAATTAGAAAATCAATTATACAGTATAGGACGGAGGATACCTATATAAAAAAATCTTGTAAAAGTAGTTAATTGCAGATCTGAATATTAGTCAGCAGAGTAAGGTAGCTGCAAAGTGACAAATCCAATTTAGGTTGCACCAATAGAAATAGAGAATCCCACAGAAAGTAATCTTTGCCCTCAATTCTGCTTTGGTTAGATTCCACTTCAAATATTACGTTCACTTCTGGGCACCACATTTGAAGCAGAATTCCAATAATTCAGAGAACTGCAGTGAATATGATTGGGAACTGGAAACTAAATCCTGCAAAGAAAGATCAAAGGATCAGGATGTCTGTAGCTTGTGAACAAGTGATTGAAGGGGGAATACCTCTTCAAGTAGATGAAAAGAAAGTTATGGTCTATTTTTACTCATTTCACAGTGTGGGATACAGAATTCTATATTTTAAGTCACAGAGAGGCATTTTCCAGTTTAATGTTAGAAAAAGCTTTCTAAGAGTGAGAAATTGATAAAGGAACCCAAACAGCGGTAGATACTATTTCATTTCAAACAGAAGCTTAAAAGACTCCCACCCTAAGCAGGGGTTGGATTTAGTGGCTTAAAGAGCAGCTTCCAATTCTGATTCAGATAAATTTGTTTGTAACAGGAACATTTTCAGTATCTAAGGCTGCATAGCAGTTGTGAAGTTAAGTATGTGTGTATGTGTATGTGTCAATGGCACTTCAGGGCAAGATTTCCTTTGAGCTTCCTTGTCATAAATACTGCATGGCATTCATAGCTCAAATAAATTCAAAATCTTTTTTCTGAAATTAATAATAGTTGGATAAAATATCTCCCATTAATTTGCAGTTATAGCTTGTTATGGTGTAATCTTAAAAGTGATATAATAAGATTACGATAAGGCCTTAATAATATAATAGTACTGACACACATACACACAATCTTCCTTTGTGCAAAATGGAAGAAATTAGAAGCATCGTTCTCCCACTGCTTTAGGAGGAAGATACTACTGAAGTTTTTTAGGATTATTATAGTTAAGAAATCCTTAAAGAGTGGCTTTGCGTAATGTTCTTTTAAGCTATCCTTTCGTAATACTGTTTTTGATGTTTAGCATTTTGGATGGAATGTTTATTATTAGGGGAAATAACAAACACTAGTATTTATTTTGGGTCATCTTATAAGCCAGTTTGGGGAGAGGGCTTGAAACTTGAAAAGTGACTCAAATTAAGTAACATGAATAATATAAATAATTCAGCTTTAGCATATAATAAAAATAACCAGGCTGTTCCAACTTATCTCGACAGATCTTCTGTTCCCCATATGCACCGCCTTCCCTGGTGAGAGAGAACCTTGCCATAATCCTTCAGATGGGCTTCTCAACCTAATTACTTGGGAGCTGGAACCAGATGGAGCTCTTGATCGTTGCCCATGTGCTCATGGGTTGATTTGTCAGAAGCAAAGGTAAAATTTCAGATTAAAAAGAATTAAACTCTTCCCAGAACTTCATTGGAAAATTAAGATCAGACTAAATATTTTAGTTTTGAGGAACACCTTTGTGCCTCTTAATTTAGCATTTTGCATAAGACTTTACAAGTGTATTGGAAGCTGGCAGTCAAGGCAAAGCAGAAATCAGACTTATTCCTTACTAGTTGCAAACATAAAACTATTTAAATGCTATAGAAAATTAACCAAGGTAAATTACTCAAAAGGTAAGGTAAATACCCATAAGAAATACAGTTTCCCAAATCCTAAGAGTTAAATTGCCTGTAGCAGTCAATGAAATATTATCTTTTGGTAGAAGTTCTTGTTCGAGGGTAGTAGAAGTTAGTAGGAGATGAAATATTTTAGAATAGCTCAACAAAACCTTGATGTGGCTAGGCCATGTATATTTGAAATGTTTCCTTAAGGGCATCAGATCTAGTTGTTCCCAACTACAAGCATTAAGGCTGTTAGGTTTTGGAAGAATACAGTGGACACACAAAAATTTGTAACTAGCAGTAATCAAGAGCAGTTGTGTATAGTTTGAATTGGAGTTTGTAATAGAACAAAGACATTTAATTCTTTGCCCTGCCACTTTCTAAGTTCTTTCTGTTTGTATTTCAAGGAAAGTTTTCATTAATGTTGATTTTCAGGAGAAACAATCACGAAGACAAAAACAGAAAGCATTGAAGTTACATAGAAATACACTCTGGTTAAATATTAGGAGTTTCCAATGGTGAAAGCTGTAACCAAAGACATAGGGTGCCTCGTGGAGGTCTTCAGAGGATGGAGAGCCATCTGTAAAAATTCTGACTTAGATATCTGACCTTCCACTTTTATGACTCTGCAAAACGAGAAAAATAAAAGGAAAATACCCTTTTTCTATTTACATAGTCCTAAACCTACCTAGATTGTTGTTATATAACAGAAGTTCAGATACTTGTCACATTTATAGTTTGCAGTCTGATAGTAGAAGGATGGTCAAAGAGGTGATCATTGTCTTTTTGTGAGAATGTCTTGGTGTGTTTTACTTAGGGTTTTTTTGTGCCAGCCTGAACCAGTTCTGCAGTTTTCTTGATAAGGTTTTTCAGAATTGGTTTATCATTGCAGCCTTCTTCCTAGAGCTGAGAGTGAGTGACTGGCCAAAGGTCACCTAGCTGACTTCATGTCAAGGTGAGGCTAGAACTCAACTCTCCTAGTTTCTAGTTTTGTGCCTTTAACCACTACACCAAACCAGCTTGCTTTGCTTAGGAACTATACAAATATTTCATTGAAAGGTAGTTGATACCCGATTAATCGTAATTCAGGAATGTAGAAGAATTTTATAACCTGGGGTTTAGCACACTTAGCCTGTTCCTGTAGTTATGTCTGTACTGAATGCCCTTGGGGAATCGAGGTGGAGATGTACTGCAGGGGTTTAGGCTGCTAGATAAGCCTGGATTCAGTTCATGATATGGCAGGCTGAAAGTAGCCCAGCAGGGAATTATTAATATAACTGGGTTACAGATCAGACTAAGGCTTCATAGCCCTAAGTTTTCAAACTGAGTCAAAGGTGGTGATTACTGACAGATATGATTTTATTGTACTGGTATAAAATTTCTGAATATACTGTCAGTCCCAGATGGAAGATCGCTATTGTTATGTACTTGCACCACTGTCCACAAAGGTCATGAAGATCATATCATGTTGCTTGGCAGGATTAGTATGTGATTGCCAGGGCACTTGTAAATTAGTAGTAACAATTCCATTTGAAGGCCATAGCCATTGAGTGTAAAGAGATTCCTTCTTAACATGGTTAATTCATTATATTAATAGAATTGTTTTTTCTGTTGCTCATTATGTTGTCTACATTTTACAAAGTTAAAGTTCTAAAGTTATTTTCACATCTAGTGTAGAATGATTTAAAAACTTGTCTAAGATTTAATTCTGAAGTCCATGTATTTGCTCTAGCACAAAATTTCCAAGAAACCAACATAATAGCTTACATTACCTCATCCTGATGCCAACCAGTATCATGAAAATGCAGTTGAATATCTGTTGATACTAATCAGGAGTATGTAATGTGAGAAAATATAAAACAAGAAGGTTTCAAGAATAGTGTGGCAGAGACTGGAGATTTCTCTTTCCTTGTTAAAAATGAGGCGTTGCCTATTATTCTGTGAAGTAAACAGATCAGTCTGAGTTGCTGCACTGAGATTTAATAAGGACCATAATTGATGGATGCAGTTTTCATTTGGGTAGCTATTGTCATGCAGTTCAGCTTTTCAGGATGGATTATTATTTGCAGATATGGGTTGTCAAGACAGGGATGAAGTGGACCATGTAAGACTAAAAGCTGCCAAATTAAAAAAATCAGAAGTCACCCCCAATTAATCCTTTAGAGAAAAGTACAGAATATTGCTAGGCCCCACTTAGTTACAGTAGTGGCCAAAATTGTGGAAATCTTTTGGGAAAAGTATACAATAGAAATGTCACCTTTGATTAAGTTTCTCCCAATTTTTCTTCTAATTTCTTTATAATTGTTGCCTTGTTCACTTAATAATAGTATTTTACATCGCTTTGTGGGCAACCAGTCAACCTTTTGCACCATTACTTTAATTTTATTTTGTTTTACAAGCTCACTAAATGAAAGAACACAAAAAAACCCAACCAACTTGATAGCGATCACATAACACACTGACAAATGTCCTCCTCCCAATTTCAATATGTGGCATCAATAACTGAACCCTACTGTGATCTGATTGGCTCATTGCCAAAACAAGATGATACCTGATTGGCTCTCTAAACACTCATGCTCATTGACTACAATCAGATGAAGGAAAGCTACCTGATATCAACCTAAGCAAGTTGTGCTTCCTTTTTCTGGTTATTTGGCTATAACCTTTCATAGAATACAGTATAGATAATTGAACAAACTATGTTGCATTACATTCTTGATTAAATGATCTTTCCATTGATATATAATTTTATGGTACTAATTTAAAAAAAAGTGGTGTTATTAGCCATCAAACCTCAAAAATACACTTTTCTCAAAAGGTATCCACAATTATGGCCACTACTGTACATGAACCAAAGCAGAACTTTTATTAAGAGGCTGGCAAGAATTCAAAAAACCAGGCTCTCTGTATTGCTTCTTTTCTGTGCTTTAAATCATAAAAATAACCAGTCCAACTGCTAATTCATGTTCAGGTTTCATTGACATGTACTTACGATTAAAAGGTTGATGTCTGAACTGTAAAAAGAACATTTAAAGGACATAAGCCAGTGTAAATGTTGTCAGACTGTTTAAATGTAGGTACATTGAAACATGTAATTTTTAATCATATACACATTTGTCCAACTAATACTAATATATAATGCTGAAACTTGGAACTTGTTTTTTCCAGTCATAGCAGCGAATCTCTTTGTGAATTATCGTTGAACAAGACCCAAAGTGAGGACAAAAACCAACTACTAGCAGATGAATTATCACTTCTAGACTTTGTAACCCAAGATATTCCTGGTGAATATGAAGAGAGACTGATCAAAGAAGTGCAGAAAGAACTGGAAGATGAAGTGGCTGATTCAGGGAAATTAGCTATGGCTAGTGACTTTTTTGGAGAGGAAATATAAGTCTAGCAAGTTAACTGATCTTACGTGCACTATTATTGCTGTTTCAAGAGTTATCATACACACACGGTATACCTGGACCTCCTCTTTGCTGCATAGAAATGCAGTTAACTCCACTGCATAGATTCATGAAAATAGATTACTCTTCTAAAGCTCAAGCTAAATATAATGGGTAGAGATCCCTACATTTTAAGTACCGTTTTGAGCTGGTTAAGAATTAGGGTTCAGTTTAAGACTGGTGGTTTGAGTTATGTATTTCTTGTATATATTGCTCCTTTAAAAAAAATCCAGCTTTTTTTTTGCTTCTTAAAGTTCAACAATACTGAATGATGCTGTGTACTTTGTGACTAGAACCTACAGGATGGTGTCTAGTATATGCAGAGCATATCAGGAGAGTCTGTTTGAATTAGTTATATTGACTACACCTGGTGGAAGTGATAGTGTATGAGCTGCATATCTTGGTTTGGAATGAACATTTCCTGAACATATGCCTGAAACAGGGTAAGTTGTCCTGAAATACTGCTTTCGATGAACAGGTACTACAATAAAGTTGAAACTCTCCTATTGGCAATAGATGTGTAAAACATGAGATCATGCTGTCTGTATATGTGTGTATGTGTATATACACACACACATACACAAGTATAAAAAGTGTTCACCGAGAGTTTTAGGATGTATAACTTTTCCACAGTATTCTCAAATTTAAGTGCAGCTCCATGAAGGGGAAAATGCAATTACAGTAGTTTCTTTTTTGGGGTGTGTGTGTCTGAATACTGGAAGATTAGAGCTCTTGATTTTCTTTTAAATAACTATCTTACTATACCATATAAATCTATTTTTAACACTTACATTTTTAGCAGCATTGTCTAATCCTTAAGAATATATTGGAGTTCTGGTCAAAATTCTGTTGGAGTGACAGTTTCAAACATTGTAGGAATGAATGTGCATACTGGCCTTCTCTACCACATCTGTCTCTATTCCCCAACCTTTGGTTATTATCTCAAAGGCCTCACTATGAACTGTTCATGTTTTCCCTGAATATATATATATATATATACACCTTGATTCTGGATCCCTCATGAATTGGAAAAGAAATTAATCACAAACTGTTCAAATCTTGTGCAGCACTGACATCTGTGCAAAATAAATCTTCACATATTCAAATACTTGTGACATCCTTCCACAATTAGCTGCAAATATTCATGGCAATTTAAGATCCACCAGCAAAGAAACATTTGGAAGTCAGTTCAAAAGGCTTTTCTTCCATTTACATAAGAATTTCTTGCAAAACGATCCTGTATTTTGACTATTACAATAAATTTCAAAGTGTGATTAAAGTAACAATCGAATGAACAAATGTTTTATTTGCATGTTCATGGTTGTAAACAGCATCTGGCATGGAACATTTACCAAAACCTTTGACTGATATAAATTAGATAGCATTTTCAAAAAGAAAAAGAAACCCCTCTATGGTATTGTTTGTAATTGTTCTTACGTAGCAAATTAAAACTCATATATGCTTTGCAATGAAATCATATGTACTGCATCAATCTGTACCACATGTTGAACTACTGCAAACTATACTGGGAGGTGTTAAATGAAGGCCATTCATTTAAAAAAAGCTACATATAAAAACTATGAATCGACTCCAAAAGTGTGATTTGTAATGATGCTAGAAAAAGCAAACTCTAAAGAATCCCAGTCCAAAAATGTACAAAAATAAGTAGCTAACCAAACAAAAAGCCCTGGAACTCATTAACAAGGAAACATTACAAATCTAAGTACCCAACGTTGCCCCCCCAAAACAAAAGGGATACAAATTTAAATAGCCAGCTATATTCTTAAATGTACACAGTGAATATTGATATGTGAAAAGAAATACCATAGTAAGCAGTTGAAATGTATTTCGGCTAACTCAAGAGAGCAACATAGTATTTACACATTGAACAGAATAGTGACATTGCCATTATTCATAATCTAACAAAAAAAAAATCAGTTACAACACTTCTGCAAAATAAACACCACCTGCTGGCAATGGTAACTTTTACTAAAAATACTTTTTCTCCACGTGTCTTGCTTCATGGAAGATTAATCCAATGAGACTAAGTTAAACCTGTAAGCTTTAAGGGATGAGTTTTGCCAATTTTATCACATTTTTAGTCCATTTCCACAACTTTGCTTTTATAAAAACCACTGTCACATTTACTTCAGAAATCTATGAGGTAATGTGTGTATCAGTGAAAAAAAAACCAAAAATCATTCATGGCCTTTGCACAGCTTTTATTAAGCTATGAATATCCTATCTGTGGCTAGTTGACTAGCTACTGCTATGTGCACAATTATCTCCAATTTTTGCCAATTGCCCACCCCACCTTGCTTTTCTGTGTTTTTATTTGCACATCCCTTTTCTTTTTACAGTACATTTGACTACAGTGCACAACATGATTCCAAGTCAAACAGGGACTTGACTGGGCACTGAACTGGACTGGCCTGTCCTTTACCAATCAGTGCTGATGCCTTTTTTTTATACCTAATGTCTTACCTTAATGGCACTACACAGTAGTTGTGTACCTTTTTCACACTTAAGAAAAATTTCCCAGAGAAAATGCTGAAATAAATATCAGTCTTGAGTCAAATCTTTATTTGGCGCTCCATCAAGATATATTTTTAGTGCTTTTTCTTTACGAGGGGAGTAGGTCACACGATGTCCAGTTTTCTGAAGTCTACTGCTTTCTTTTTTCATGAGTTCATTTCTCTGTTCTTCAGTTAGTTCCACCATTTCTTCGGTTTTATCCCTTAGGTTAAAAAAAAAAAGGATTTAAATTCTACAACAAACACAAATTTACATATTTTTAACCAGGCAGTAAGTATCAATATATTTGATGTCCTAATAGACAAATCACCTTCTGGACAAGATGAAATCACCCCTATTCACATAATTCACAGCTTTTAATGTCAACTCAACACTCAGAATATACTTCAGAGCAGCCAGTTCATAGAAGATGAGAAATTGGAAAAGATCCAAAAGGAGCAGGTTAAGCAAATAACTGGCCATTTTCTAAACTACATTATTCCTGTCAATAATGTAAAATGGTTGATCCCACAAATGCTATATAATCTGCACATATTTGTAAAAATACAGGCAGCTTTTAAAATTATTTCAGTACAGCAGGCTTATATATAACCTGGAAGTTTTCTAGGATTCACAACTCCTGCTTGAACAGCGTATGGAGGCCATGGCTAGTAGGGCCTTTGTATAATTATATCTAAAGTACTATTCCTGCATCAGGGAGCACTGTACACAATCGCCAATGCCCCCATCACATTGCAGTTGCAATGTATTATTCAGTAGGACTCTGCTGAATACTATTTGGAAGCTTCACCTGGTACAGCATATGGTTACCTAGGATAATGGCCACCCTAGATTTGCCCATGTGACACCAGTACAACAGGAACCACCTTGGCTGACAATCTGCTTCTGGGTGAATTAAGAGATGCTGGTCATCGCCTTGAAAACTCTCCAAGGGTCAGACCCTGGATACCCTTGAGATCATCTGCACTGAGCTGAGTCTTCCTGTTCAGTAAAAGCTATGAGAGGCTTGTTAAAAATCCCTTCTCTGAAGAGTATAGCATTTACCAGAACCTTGCAGTCAGGCACATACGCCTCTTGCATACTGATTACATTTATATTGAACATTATTTCTGTATTACTTAGCTTCAAATCTAGTGGCAGGCATAAAACCTAAATCATTTTAGATTGTGCTAGCCTACAGCTACAAGTATCTTGAAAACATTAAGAGTAAAATGTTTTATTCTTAAAATTTTCACTCCTAAAGAGTAAAACGTTTATACTCTGCTTATCTAAGTAAGCAGCTGAAATGCAAAATTCTGATAATAGAGAATTAAGCTAATGCAGTCAGAAAATGCACAATATATGGGTTTCTTCCTGAGCCATTTCTCATTTCTGATTTATTTAAACCACTTTTCTACAATCAGTTTTTTCACATTGGAAATTTATGCGGGGTTTTTCAATATACAGGAGGTAACAACGAATCAACGAACACCTAGAGGCAAACAAAGTCATTACTAAAAGCCAACATGGGTTTGTCAAAAATAGATCATGCCAGACAAATCTTATTGCATTCTTTGACCAAGTGACAAAATTAATGGATCAGAGGAATGCTGTGGACATAATTTACTTGGATTTCAGTAAGACATTTGATAAAGTAGATCACAACCTACTACTTGACAAGATAGAAAAATGTGGGGTAGACAGAACCACCACCAGATGGATCTGTAGCTGGCTGACCGGCCATATTCAGCGAGTGGTCCTCAATGGAACTGCATCTACATGGAGGGAAGTGTGTAGTGGGGTGCCCCAGGGCTCTGTTCTGGGCCCAGTACTTTTCAACATCTTCATCAACGATTTGGATGAAGGGATAGATGGGGAACTCATCAAATTTGCAGACGACACCAAGCTGGCAGGAATAGCCAACACTCCAGAAGACAGGCCTAAGATACAGAAGGATCTGGACAGACTTGAACACTGGGCACTAACTAACAAAATGAAATTCAATGGTGAAAAAAGCAAGGTTCTACATTTAGGCAAGAAAAACCAAATGCACAAGTACAGCATAAGTGGCACCATGCTCAATAGTAGTAACTGTGAGAGGGACCTCGGAGTCCTAGTAGACAATCACCTAAATATGAGCCAGCAGTGTGCTGCAGCTGCCAAAAAGGCCAACACAGTGCTAGGCTGCATTAACAGAGGGATAGAATCAAGATCACGTGAAGTATTAATACCACTCTTCAATGCCTTGGTAAGGCCACACTTGGAATACTGCATCCAGTTTTGGTCACCACGATGCAAAAAAGATGTTGAGACTCTAGAAAGAGTACAGAGAAGAGCAACAAAGATGATTAGGGGACTGGAGGCTAAAACATATAAGGAACGGTTGCTAGAATTGGGTATGTCTAGTTTAACGAAGAGAAGGACAAGGGGGGACATGATAGCAGTATTCCAATATCTCAGGGGCTGCCATAAAGAAGAGGGAATTAAGCTATTTTCCAAAGCACCTGAAGGCAGGACAAGAAGCAACGGGTGGAAACTAATCAAGGAGAGAAGCAACCTAGAACTAAGGAGAAACTTCCTGACAGTGAGAACAATTAATCAGTGGAACAGCTTGCCTCCAGAAGCAGTAAATGCTCCAACACTGGAAGTTTTTAAGAAGAGACTGGACAGCCACTTGTCCGAAATGGTGTAGGGTTTCCTGCCCAAGCAGGGGGTTGGACTAGATGACCTCCAAGGTCCCTTCCAACTTTACTAATATGAACATATGAACCTAAAAGGATATACCTATAAAATATCACTGCTCCATCATCACAGATGTAGAGAGGCCATACATTCAGTGTGGAGACCTTCGGATTCCAGTCCAAATCTTGATGTATCTCTAGAATAGAGATCTCACAGGGAAATGTCCCTCTGCCCTAGAAAGGAAAACAGCATCTTAGTAATACCTATTTATTTGATTTATATGGTCACCCGTCTCTCACTAATGGCAATTCTTGGTGGCATACAATAATCATACCTATATATGTTATGGCCCAGCACAATTATATATACTCAAAATGTGTGCTATGATCATAATCAACATTGTTTTTCATTTATGTCTCTATTTCCAAATCAATCATTTCTCAAACATACGACTTGATTGCATTTTTCAGTTAGGTGTAATAAATCCATTCCTCAATCTCCCTCAATCCTCCTAGGAAAAGCTGATTTGTCACTTCACCATTCAGTCAAGCTTCTGTATTGTAAAAGAATGCAGTCTTAAACTTCAAAGAGATGTATGTGATCAGCCAGGTCTTGATTACATTTACCAAAGCTATATGAAATTAAAAATTAAATCAAATGGTCTAGCCAATTGATGGGTGTTTTACCCACTCATATATTAAAGAGACAAGCACTTTCAGTCTACTTGGAAGAGAGAAAATTGATAGGAGACAATGTCTTTTCCTCTTCTCCTGCCCAATTTCACCAATATCCCCTTCAGAGGATTCAGGTATTATAGCAGAAAAAGGGAGATATCCATTAGTATTTGATCAGCATTTTCTGAACAAATCTCAGCTGAGAGGAAATCTGAACCACTTTCAGCAGCTTGAAGAAATAAATAACTTACCTTTGCAAATTCAATATTTTCTGAGGGGATTCCACTTATTGCGTTAAGCTGTGAAAAACATGTATCAAAATGAGTTTATTTCCAAAAGGTATGGTATATGAAGTTTCATATATTCTTGCTGGTTGTTTCAAAGTTTACATTCTGTATTATGTACAAAAATTGGTATCTGAACTGATACATAGATTCCTAGATTTTTATATAATCTAAAAATCGCGTTTAGTTCACTAGTAGTCTCCAAACAAAGGCTAGATGTCATCTTTGATAGATGCTTTTTATACACATTTTAATGCTTTTAAAATAACAGAAAAAAGCAGAAGGAACAAAACACACAAAAAATATACATTATTCAAACAAAACATAAATGTTTAAAGAATAAGTAGTAGATGCTTTAGCAGATTCTGAAATGAGCAGGGCTTGAACTAGGTCAGTGGTTCTCAACCTGTGGGTCGGGACCCCATTTGGGGTCGAATGACCATTTCATGGGGGTCGCCAAACAACGCAGTCTGCCATTTTTTCCCCTTTTCCTTAGCTGTGCTACTCCCTTTTATTCTATTGGCTTTTGAAAGCCAATAGAATAGACTCTCTTGACTAGAGTCTAATTCTATTGGCTTTCCAAAGCCAATAGGAATTGTCCAGGCTGTCTCTGCCCTGCTGAGCCCGCCAAAAGTCCCATTCTGCAAACGGTGCTGCACCAGTTGAGTAGTCCTCGACTTACGACCGGTTGAGTAGTCCTCACGACCAGTTGGGGGGGGGTCGTGGCATTAAAAAGGTTGAGAACCACTGAATTAGATGGCCTTTAAATCCTTCTAACTCTGACTTACATTTCTATGAGAAATGTCTTAAAAGTAAGCAGAATTGTATTTATCTAATTTATATAGCATAGTAAGAGTTCAATTCAATTCATTACAGCCAAAGGCCACACATAAATCAAATATCCTAATAAAACAAAACTAGACAGAGCCATCACAAGAGGACATAGCAAAACATCACAATCAATGGGTGCAATCAATGGGCGACCAAAGTCTGCCTAATTTTACAGGCAGTATATCAAAAACAAGCTATCTTCAGAAACTGAAACCTACTGACCTGACACTAAAAATACAATAAGTATAAATTGGATAAAACACGTAATAAAATCAATTTTAAAAGATTTATTAAAAGGATCTAAAATGATTATGATTCTGGCGAATCCCCAATGCTGCAGCACAGAATCTGGCCACCTGCGCCGTGATCTCTGCCTGCCCATCCTTAAGCAGCCACTGGAGATAGATTCTTTCTAAATGACCAGGATATCTATCGATTATGGGGAGGATATGGTTTTCCCGAATGGCTCTGTAGAAGGAACATCGAAGGAGTATGTGTCCAATGGTCTCCACTTCTCCTGAGCCACAGGAGCAGAGTCTTTCAGACAGTGGTGTGTTTTTGTACTTGCCGTACAAGACAGGCGATGGAAATGCATGGCACCATGCAAGCGAGAATGCTTTCCGGCGGTTTACTGACTCCAACTGACTAAGATACCTGGCAGGTATAACCATGTATCTAATGGAGCCAGAAACAGCGGAGCTATACCTAAGTCCACTTGCCTCTTGATGTCCTCTACCCTTTGATGCAAGGTTTGTTTTGCTTGGTCGTAGTCCAATTTGAGAATTGAGGCTGATGAAAAGCCTAGTTTGGCAAGGTTGACTGCCTTGATCCACGAAGAGGAAAAGTTATCTTGTAGAATTAATGGAGCAAGGCCTTGCGGAAAGCAATTAAGCCTTAAGGAAGCTATACAGATTCTTGCTTCGACTTTTATCAACCCTGTCTCCACAACAATTTGAGATAAGAGTCCACAACAATTTGAGATAAGAGTTTTGCTTCTTCTGTTCAAATTCTCATTTAGCTCTTGCCATCCTACCACCTTTGGTATTATAATCTATATATTACTAAAACTCTGTTTGTAATCCTCAAGTAGCCCAAACATTTTTTAATCAACGTATCTCAAATCCACTGACTTAAAAGAATTTGTGCAAAATCCAGGACCCATTTATTCCCATGTAATTGAAATTTCAAGGATCTTCACACTGATTTTATTCACAAAGTTGTGGTCACTGCAGTGTCATCATGATTAGCTGCAAATCACGTGATTGTAATTTCCAATGTTCCCTGCCAGCTTCCCTCAAGCAAAATCAATGAGGAAGCCAGCAGGAAGTTGGAAGTTGTTCCTGTTCCCATTGCTTTTTTGCCTGCCCAAGATCAATCTATTGCTCTGTTTAGGTAAGGAAATGTCTCTAAAAGGATGACTCAACAGGTGATGGGTTATGAAGTGTACTTTTAAAGTTGAACATTTAACTTTTACTGCCTAAAGCGTAACAGATATAATCCTTTATAGTCAAATTACAATATGTAGAATATGGAATAAAATATATACTGAAAGCACTTTGGAGCATATTGTTTTCTCATAAACAATAGCAATTGGATCTTTCATTCTTGAACTCATTCATGGTAAATCTTTAGCTCTACCTAATACAGATAGAAATGAGACATTATCATATGGCTATCTAAGCAATAGTCCTCAGTTGAATTTCTTCATCTATTTAGGCTACAATTCCCACTTGCACTGCCCACTAGGGCTGCTGTGAATTGCAGTTTAAAACACTGAAAAATTAAGCTGGAAAAGTGTTTCTTTAGACTTGCTTCCTTAAATTATGTGAAGTAGAAGTGATCATTCTGATGTACTCTAAAAACCTAACTTATATCTTTTTAGGAATAAATTAAGCAGGTATTTTATATCACTAAAGAAAACTAGTTCATACATTCTGTTGGAACATAGTTTAATAGTTGTTTATGAATAACCCACATTTGACTGGATGTAGCTCTTTGGTTATATGTAGGTCTTTGGTTATTTGGGTTTTCTCCCGCGTAAAATTGGAAGTGTCTTGGCGACGTTTCGACGAAGTCCCTTTCGTCATCTTCAGGCTGGTGTTTTCGGCTTCGTCGAAATGTTGCCAAGACACTTCCAATTTTACGCGGGAGAAAACCCGAATAACCAAAGACCTACATACAAACACCCGCAAAAACCTCAGAAAACATATATATGTTTTGTATAATTCTTGCTACACTACGGCATGTTGGACCTGCCAATAAACCCCAAAATGTTCTTTTAATGATCACTGTGACTGTGGTTTAGAAGCTTTTAAAGTTTCACAAAAGAAAGTAACTATGAATTCTGTAAGACACGGATATGTATATAAATGAGGTTGATTTACCTTTTCTTTTAATTCATCAACACTACTGCTCTCTAAAACTACTTCTTGAAAATGATCTAGCTTCATCTCTGATGGCCTCCATCTTCTTGACAGAACAGCAAGTTGTGACATCGATTTCATTTTTTCTGCTCCTAAAAGTCATTTGGAATGTAAGTGTGTCCAGTAAAACATTTCAGGAAGAGATATTTAAATGTTTATTTACAGCATTTTCTTTAAGAGGGAAAATTGTCTTGTTAATTGTGATTGTATAAATAAATAAATAAATAAAAATAAACGTTTGCAGAACAAAAATCGACAAGCTCGGTTAGGACAGTCTTACCAAAAAATTATGTTTTAAATTTTATTTCAGATTTGAATTCCTAATCTAGTATATTTATTAAATTTATATATGAAAACAAATAACTGTGATGCTCAGGATCTGGGTACTTCATTCTAAGCATTTTAAACTCAAAATAGCCAGTTTGACTTCTTCAAGCTTAGAATCAAATAACTGAAATTCCGGAGTGTATATACAGCATTTTATATCATATTGTTTCAAATATTCCACCACCAACCCTTTTGGCTTAGTGTTTTTTTGTAAAGAAAACATAAATAGTTAAACTTTTAATAGAAGTTGAAAAGTAAATAATGATTTACTTTAATTATTTAATAAAACTGCAAGCATAAGCTCCATATCTGCTGTCATGACTAATATAACTAAGGAGGATGGGAGAGAGGGAAAGACTGAGAACAAATATGAATAAGAAAAAGACTACTGCTTGTTTTGTTGTTTTGTATAAATTAGGCATTTGTACTGCTGCTGAGTTTTCGGGTGATTACATACAAAAATTGTTGCTATCTGTAGTAAATGGGGAGAAACATCAACCCAGAGCTTGAAATATTAAAGAGTTAAAGGAAAACCAATCTGATCCAACATTCTAGGTAGCAAAAAGAGATTATCCACTAAATAAATAATCAATATCCAACCACCTAACAAAGGAAGGGGCAGCTCCAATTTTATCCGGTTTGCTTTTTCTCTCATGGGAGGGATGAAACAGCTTTTCTTAGGCAAATTCCAAGCCAAGAACTGGGTTTAGAGATCTAGTAAAAATATAACTAACTAGGGGACAATGGACCTAAATGCAGATTAGAAAATCTTAAATGATGTTTTATGGAAAATAATGCTTAAAATCTAGGTGTCTTCTTCAGATCTTGGATAATGCTGTATTTTTTACTAGATTCATATCCTTAGTCTAAGGCATTCTACATGAAGCCAAGTGCTTTCATAAAGCCTCTCAACTTTACATTCTGAGCTACAATAAAATTTTAGAAACACACTCTGTTGCTTTACTAAATCTAACCCTAACATTTGTCATCAGGCTTTGGATTTATTTTTCACTACATGTATAAGGAATTGCAGTGTAATTTTTTTTGTAAAAAATTACTTTTAAGACAACATGGTTAATTTTTATATAATTTAAAAACATTGTAAAGCTTAATTAAAATAACTGATTTCAAAGTATTGATACCTTCAAGTATTTCTAGGAAAACCTCCCAGTTACTTGAAATATTAATATCTTCTTCATAGACATGATAATCCAGAAACACAGTTCCTGGGTTTTTCCAGGTCTTTTTTCTTAGGCGGAATCTATTGAAAAAACAGTAGTTAAAAGTCACAACCACATTTAATTTTGATACAGTGTTTTCCTGAAATAGGTATAAATTATGCTTTTATCAAAAGAACTAAAGAAGCCAGAGCTAAAAGCAACAAATTAAAATTTTCAGTCACGTTCCTTCACTTTATAAGGAACCCCCCCCCCAAGGAATTATTGGTTGTTCAAAACTAAAATTTGGTGCAAAGATTACTATGGTGTGTTACATATTAGAAAGTGTCAATAAATTTTATTTCAGTTATGAAATAAAAACAGAGCAATATCAATAAAATAAAGCATGATTATAATGATTTATTTGTGGCAACAAATCAAAAGAAAATAAATGTATCTCCTTTTTTAAACATGGTAAAGTCAACAGTTCGTATCTCAGAACTTTTTTCAATTGTCAAAATAAGAATTTTGAGATTCATGTTAATGATGTTTACCTGTCAACAGTCAAATTCAGCCCACATTGCTCCCTGAGCTGAGGAAGTAACTCCTCTTTTGATTGCCGCACAGTCATTCCCTTAGCAAAAACTGAATCTATAAGAAACTTGCAGGGCTGTGAAAACACATTTTAAATGGATAACCTGTTAGAAAGCTTTCATATTTTGAGTATCCGTACTTTCCCTTTGCACAAAATATATCAACAAAGATTTTTTGCCTGCAAACAGCAGTGAATTCTGTAGTGTCCGTGTGCGTTTGAAGGGGAAAGGAAGATATCTACAATAGTGTATCAGGACACACACACAAAGTAAGTGTGGATTACTTATTTGACTAGTAAATCTCCTCATTCCAGATCAGTACAACACACAATATAATAAAAAACCATTCAAAACTGAAGGTATAATATTGAGAAACTTCCTGAAAGTGAGGACAATTAACCAGTGGAACAGCTTGCCTCCAGAAATTGTGGGTGCTCCACCACTGGAGATTTTTAAGAAGAGACTAGACAGTCACATGTCTGGTTTAGGTTCTCCTGCTTGAGCAGGGGGCTGGACTAGAAGACCTCCAAGGTCCCTTCTAGCTCTGTTCTGTTCTAGTGTGGCTATTTTTCTAGTTATTGCATCATCAAAGGCCTTCTAGAAAAAAACCCTTGTTTTTAATTATTTCATTATTCTCTGAAAGGTGCTAAGACTGGGGAAGGCATTCTTTTCTTGTGGTAAACTGTTTCAAAAGAGGAGAGCATCCACCAAGAATGCCTACCTCTGCATTTTTTGGCATCACATTTCAAGAGAAGCTCCCTATTTAGCCAGATTGAGGAACAGAATATACTTTATATTAGTGCCCTCTAAAATATCCAGGTATTGAGCCACATAAGACTTCCAGGTAATCGGAAGAGTCTTAAACTGTCCTCAGAAACAGACTGTAACAGGCTGAAGTTTTCAAGTGTCCGAGGACAATTCCATGTACAGCAAATCTCAAAAATACAGCCATGACATGACAGAGTATCCTGTTCTAAGTGAGGCCACAACTGGTGCCAAAAGGCCCTTGTGGCCAGAGACTCTGGTTTGATGCTTTACTGGTTTAGAATTTAGTAATCAAAGAAACTTCTAATTTTAATTATGGTTTGTCTAAGGAGAAGTAAAGGGATTGCTCTATAGATAAAAAACTTGTGTAAAATGTTTTATGTGCCAATATTATGTATTAAATCTGATTAATAGTACATCTCAACCTTCCACTCCATCTAAGGATATTCTAAAAAGGCTCAATACTCCTGTGCATCAGACGTCCTTTAACAATGATTTTGTATAGCTGGTAAATATTAACAGGGATAACCTGGTATTTAAATCAGATATCAAAAAACCTGATAGTCTGGATTCCTTCTGATTCAAATAATTGCAACTTCCTTTCTGTAAAATACATTTTATTCTGATCACTTAGTTAGAAATAATTATTTATTTTGCACACATTTTTTTCTAGCAACTAGTTTTATGTTTGAGTTCATGCAGACACATACATCTTCTTTTAACTTAAAAATGCTTTCCAATTATTGCTTTAATTAACATTCACTCCTATTTTCTCCCACAGAATTCTTTAAATATCTTCACAAGGAAGTGGGGAAAACTTCGGAATATCAGAATATCCTCCTCATACGAGGCTAACAAAAATCAGATGAAAATGGGATGCCCCTTACTTTTTGTACAGTTGTCAGAAGTTTCCTTTGGCAACTAAAACAAGTTTTCTGCTACTTTAAAGAATCATGTCCCATCAGAACAATACATATACATATAGGAAAAATTGTGCATTAAAGTATAAAAGTATATTTCCCAGAGAATCTATTTTATTAACTGCTTCTAAAACTTGCTAGTAATATGATGCCCATATTGGAGCTGTGTAGCTTTTGCTAAATCTTACTTCTTAGCTATTGGCTATAGTGGGTGCAGAAGGATCACTTTTTAATAGTTACATTGTTCAAGATGTTTTAGGAGTTTCACATCTTACTTACCTCTGGATCGTTCACCAAAAGTTGGAAAACCTTGACTCTGTATTCCCCTTTCTTCAGTGCTCTTCCAAACCTAATAGTTATCTTGAAATTAAAAAGAAAAAAAAAATAAAAGCTTGCAAGAGATTGCCTGTCTCTTATCCTTAACACAGAATGCTGGCAGTTAAACAATCAGTAAATGTTTGTGTCTAAGAATGTAATGCACTTCCAAATTCAATAATCAAATTTGAGCAAACTGGGTGTCTTTATGGATAAGCATCTCAGAAATTGTCAGCATAAGCATCTGTACACTTCTGTTCCTATAAAAATATTGGATCACTCTTGAATGAAGACAAAAACTTTACAGGAAAAAGAATGAGATGCAGGCAAGGACAAATGTTAACTAAATACATACAATATTGATTACTTTTAACCACCTTCCCACCATCCCTCTACAATTTAACAACTCTCTCCTAAAGTGTTTTCAGTGTCAAGAGAACCATTGGAAGGTGAGTAATAGGGTATGTATGTAGGTGTGGGTGAGAAACCAGTGAGACAGTATTTTTGTTTGACTGGAAATGAAAAAAAAACAAAACAAAACCTCCAGATTCAAATAGTTGGACAGCACGACTACAGAAGAGAGTTCAAAAAAGGTAGTTCAAAATGCAGGGATTAGGAAAGCAGCATCTACTGGTCTTTCATTAAAATGGGATATGGGACTTTTTTTTATTACCCATCCAAATTTCAATGATGCAATTATAACAAAGAACAGTTTAAACTCTGCAATAAGTTTTCCGTAACTGCAGTGCACTGGGAAGATTTAAAAAATATACAGGTGGTTCTCACTTACCAATGGTAAGTAGTGAGGATCACAAATGGTGATCATGTGACTGTGGGACAATGCAACAGTTGTAATTGAGAGCCAGTTACCGACTGCCCAAATCACAATATGACCATGGAGATGCTGTGATGGCTGCAACTAAAAGGACACATCATAGGTATCCTTGTTCAGCACCACTGTGACTTTGAACAGTCACTGAACGAGTGGCTGTTAAATGAGCACTGCCTTGTATACAAAATATTAAATATTAATTGAGTTGCAGATGGTAGATTGTTAAAAAGGTAAATACTATCTTTTATATTAACGCAAGTAATGCAACAAAACAGTCCCTTGAAAAATAACTGGGCCAATCATTACATTCTAAATGCTTTCCACTAGTATTCAATAACATATTTTGCTAACCTTGTTATCATCTGAGAAGGATGAAAGAGTTTCATTCAATCGGACACTCTCAAATTCTTGATTGCTGGCATAAATTCGAAAGACCTTAAACTGAGAAGATGGAACTCCAACAAACGGCTCCAAGAGTTGTTTGAAAGCAGAAAGTGTAATTCTTTTATCAACATGAATCAACAACCCTAAACCAAGAAAAAAATTAACTTGAAAAACAAACTCAGTTTTAATGCCATATATATAATCACCAATACCATTTCATTTATGTAATTAATAGATACACATATTCCATTTTCTTGCTTTCAAGTTATAAGACTTCAAGTGATCAGAGACATTTATCATATCCATTAACACTGTATTCTGTGTAACTTCACATATAAGGAAATTGTACAGCAGATGATTGGAGCATTTGTGAGATTATAAATAATAATTTACTAAGCTATACTACTTAATATTTTGAAAAGGTCCATTTAAGAAAAAGTATGTTTTAAAAGTATGCATTACAGTTAAACTGCATCTTGAAACTGCCTTCTTTTTACATTAATTTATACTCAATGTTGTTATAAATTTTCAGAAATGTATACAACATATATAAATATAAATAAACAAGCAATCTACATTTCTAGAAAAATGTTTAGCAACTGCACATGATGTGTTACAGATGCACAATGGATTTGTTAAAAATTTTTTGGCAAAAATCTATCTTCTCCCACAACAAATATATTGCCAAAGAGTTAATTTGCCTTAATGGTTATTGATTTATACTCTGCATTTCATTTAGTTCCCCAAAGTGATATTAACAGAAGTGCCTCCTACATTTTTTACAGCTTCCTCTATTTATTAAAAAAAAAATGATTGAACTTATTTTCTGTTTGTGGATCAGATAGAAGAAACAGTTTCCTTCTGGTAATATTCCCCAAAGTTTTTCTAATCAATAGAGGAAGTCATACTGTAAATGAAAGCCTCAATATCAGAGCATTCTCTGCTGATGAAGGAAAATGATGCAGCTTTTCTTTTTTCTTTTGGCATTTAATTTGATTCTATTCCGATTCCTTAAATGTATGTGTATGTCTATATAGGTAGTTTTAAACTTATGGCCATTAGTTTAACAACGGTTAAACTATATACCAAACACGTTACATTCACATTATTTAATTAATAACTGCATCACTTAACAACTTAAATTCTGGTCCCAGTTGTGGTGGTAAATTGAGGAGTGCCTACATCTAGGCATCTAGAACCATCTTTCATTTTATGCAAACAAACAGCAAGCCTGCTTATATAAATGTATCTTGCGGGAATGTATACAACATATGTAAATATAAATAAACAAGCAATCTACATTTCTAGAAAAATACCTTACACATTACCATATTTCATACATACATTTCTGCCCCTCTCCTGAGCCTTCCTCTGCGACGCAGGGCTCTGCCTTGAAGTACATAAACTGTGCTTCTGCCCTGCTTTTCCCACTTTCATCATATTCACTGTCGGTTCCAGAATCCTCTTCAGCCGTATCCCATGTTTCCTTTTTCCCTTCATTGGCTTTTGATCGCCTACTGCTTGTTATGCTGTGTGAATCAAGTCCATTCGCCAAGGTTATAGCGGCATTATCGACATTGCATAATGTGTCACTGCTGTGGCTGGAACTAAGAATATCACTGTCCACAGAGCTTGTGCTCCTGTCATTGTTCAAATCTGAATCTGACCGCTCTTCTGACTGGAAATTTTCTGTATCAGAAACCTGAATTTGGTTTTCGAGTTCCTGGTTTTCTGTTGATGCTGATGAATCTGCCTCATTGGAAGGCGATTCGATATTTTCAAAGTCACTGGCCTCTGTGCTCCTGCTGCTGTCACCATTATCTCCTTCCTGCTGCTGCTGCTGTAAGGACAAGGTTTTAAGTTTTTCAGTGCTCTCTTCTAGGATAGCTTCTACAGATTTTGTATTAAGTAAAGATCCTTTCCCTGCTTCACAAATTGCATCTAAATTGCCTGAATCTCCACTCGCCTTTTGAAATATTGTCCTTCTGAACACTGATCCAGGAGACTGTTCTGGTAATGAAACATACAGCCTGATTGTATTTGCGTGGCGGTCTAGGAGTTTCCATAACTGAGAATCTGTAAACGGCAGCTGTCTATCTTGAGAATCTGAACTTTCAATGAATACCTAAAATGTAAAACAGAGTAAATCCACAAGGAAAAATCATAACCTCTTACAGAAATTATCTTAAGCACATAAACACAGAAAAAAATGTGACATCTGTAAATCAAGAAACTCCTATTGAATAAATAAATTATATTAAATCTATTGTCTCTGACATATAGTAAACTCTGAAAGAAAAACTAGAAGAAAAAATATCTTACTTTATTGCTCCTAAAAAAGCCTTCAGCTTTAAGTGTTTTGTTGGCCACAGCGAGAAGACGCAAATCATTATAGCAACGTTCCAAAACAACACGCATTGTTTCAGCAGGTAAATGTACAGCCTGCGGTAACAGGAAAAGCAAGATAAAATGAATGCTTTTAATATACTAAGGAGAGAGAAAAAAAGAATAAGGTGCAAATTATTTACCTTTGAAATGAGATACTTGAATTCTGTAACTGTCTGGTTCAAATAAGCACGGACACTAATTGGAGGAGCCACTGTGTCCTGTTTTAGGTCGACAACATGAACCTTTACCATGACTTCTGCCAAAATAATAAATATAACTCATGAAGAAGATATAACAAACAGAAAAAAAGGTTAAAAAGGATACTTGCCTCATAAATACTTGATTTAAAGATAATATACTTACTATAAGATACATGCTATAAGGCATGATTATCAAAAATAATTTTCTTGTGCATTCATAAAATCACAATTTTATAAAGTGTCACTTACCACCAGGTTTGTAACATTGGAAAGACTGATCAGGTTGCCTGGTTTCCAGAAGAAGATCAAACATGTATGTTGATTTAACACCACCAAGCAAGATTCCCATTGCAGTGTCATCTTCTCCTTCATAGGATCGTTCCAGATAATCATGGAACTCATCATATTTAACAAGACGACAGCAGTTCAAAGGAACTGCGTCTTCTAAATCCATTATCTATAAGCCATAGAAAAATGAAAAATAGTGTTATTGAAATGCTGTTCAAGTGTTCAGTCAAAATTGAAGAAAAACATTCTAATTTTAAGTTCTCCGGACATGTCATGTTTGTTAACAAAAATAAAAAGTCTAAGAACTACATGCCAATATTATGTTTATTGTCCATTAACATATGATCTGGCAAGATTCTTTGGCACGATTGCCACAAATGTAATAATGTTGTTATATTTGTATCCCCCTTTCCCTCTAGGAGTCTAAATACTAATCTAATACCTTAATTATTACACCACAATGGGTTTGTTATGGCTTTCAATTAATAAAGAATACCAACAACAGCTACAGTAATATTAAGTACTGAAAAATATTTATTAAATGATTTTTATAACTGCCCTATACTTGGCTCATGACTCAAATAACCAATATCATTCTATTATTGTCCAATGCAAACAGAAAGGCAACAATAAGCAGACAAATGGCATCAAAAGAACCCCATGTATACACTGAGGTTTCATGTAGTCCTTGAGATCTTGATCAATTTAGCAATTACCCTGTAAAGTATTGTACCTTATAAGCCATCTCCACAGCTTCCTTCAGAGTCTTATCTTTATGAACTTCCAGTTTATTTTCCATCATTATTTGTTTTACAGGATGCATACAGAATAATTTTATCTGTAATTGACAGAAAAATGATCAAACTGATTTTTCAATGTACTTGATAGTTCTAATTTAATAAAAGAATTACAATGTTCTGTGCATGAACACTTTTGTTAGAATTAAATTAAATTAAAAGAAAAAAAATCTGGAAAACAATCATCTTATATGCTTTTACATTTCAAAGATTTTTTCAAAAACAAAAAATTATATCTAATATTATATCAATGAACATATGATTCTGTTCAAAAGGTGTCATGAAGAAATGAAACACAGTATTCGATTAGCAAAATTCCAATACTATGTATTAAGTTAGTTTACCTAGGTTCTAAAAGTATGTATTTTCAAAATTTCAAAACTACATCAAAAACATAAGCCAAGTGTAAAGAAATTTTTTTTTAAAATTCATATCAAGTGAAATATGATATGAAAGAATACATATTGGCTTACTGTGTTATATCAATGCAGCATATAATCAGAACCGGACTAATGCTGAAAATCAGAAACTTAATATTCTCCACCCAGTTTAGAATAAACCTTGTTTAATAAACAGTTTTCTCCAGCTTGCTCTCCCTTCAAGCTAGGTTTTCAACTTAGTTTGCTAGAAACCTTAAATGAAACTTTCTTCATTTGAATGTCATGTAAAAGTCCAAATTACAAAGCCAAGGTTGGGAAAATAAGAGTAGGAAAATATACAAGTATGTAACTTTATTCTGGCTGCTGTTTTATCAGGCTTAGATCATTCAAACTTAACTGATCCATGATCAAACAGAGAGGGAAAATTTCAATCAATTTCTATTAAGAATGGATTCCTAGAAACAACCTAGAAATAATTTGTAAGCACTGTGCCAAGTAAGAATATGTAAATGATTCTGATACATCTATCAATATGTACCAAATCATCTGTTCATCTTGTTCTAAGCAAACATTTCAGGTGGAATGTGTCAAAACATACCTTGCAAGTATTGCGTTCTATTTCACGCTGCCTCTTTTCTTGTTCTTCCAGTTCCTTTTCTTTTTCTACTAATCGTTTAATATGCTCTGGATATTCATTGACCTCTAGGAACTCTATCAATGCAATAAGAATGTGAGCTTTTTTTAAAAAAAAAAAAACTTGGTTTTGCGGTATTTTGTTATTTTGTAACTTAATCTTACTTTAAATTACACATACAACTTTATGTATACTCCTTAAGGCAGGAGTCCCCAACCTGAGCTATGGACCACTTCTGGGCCATGGCCTATTGAGAAATGGGCTGCTGAAGCAGCGGGCGAGCATGCAAAGCTTCATTTGTGAATGTGCAGCATTTAAGTTGCCTGAGTGAAACCATTCCCCCTCTGTTGCCTGCCACCACTAAAATTTGGGGACCCCCTGCCTTAAGGAATGCTGTCTAGGAATATTTGTGAAATGGACCCACTGCTAAAATGGACCCACTTATTCCCTTTTACACACACACACACACATAGACACTTTATGCATAGTCTATATAATATGCATTTTCATGCATATTAAACTACTTATTTGTAGAAATATGCACTGCACATATCAAACAATAAAATCTTTAGCTTAGTGCAAGAGATTTAGTAAATAAAACACTCTTTCTTCAAAAACAGCTAATCTGAACTAAAATACACTTCCAACAGTTATTTTACCAGCACCCATGTTCATAAAAACTATTTCCTGCAGCATGCTATCAAATTCACAGAGAAAAAAAATCTATACACGTCTTCTCATTAATTTGGATTAATATTTTTCCTCTCATGAATTGGAGAAAAGCAATCTAGCTAGATTTTATAGAAGCAAGGTGATTTAATCACAACAGAAATATTATTAAAACCATAATCAACCTGTGAATAATGGAATGTGTACTTACTTGCATTTCTAGTTGTGTCCTTTAATCTATATATAAGCATATATGCATTTGTCGAGCTATTGGGGTGATATAAAAAAAAATTATATCTTGCATGTTAAAATACATGTGAGTTTAATAGCCCAAAACAAAATGTATAATTACATCTTAGTAAAAGTAATTATATGCACTCAACCTTTATAATCAAAGGATCAAACAGCACACTATTCAAATCCAGAAGCATTTCTATAGACCTCAAAGAATAAGTCTTAAAGGTACAAGACTTCTCTGCTTCAAATAAGCTACATCCCATTTCTCAAGGCAGAAGATCTGGAGCCTCACTTTTCACCGAATGATAAAAATGCAGCTGCCATTTCAAAGTGCCAAATAATTAAGGATAATGCTGGAAATGAAAACCGAAGCGCACTTATAGGTGCTACACCAGGCAGCCTATAAATGCAGCTGGTCTGGTCTTGGCCACAATATATACATGCTTCTTAAGGCTGACTTCCTGAGCTAGAGCATCTAGCCTATCAATCTGCTGTAGGTCTTCAGAACGGAAGCTCCCCAACCTTGTGCTATGGACTGAATGTTGCTTTCAACAGGCTGAGGTACTTTCTATTCCTCATTTTGAACAAAAGTCAAGGTATTTATGGATTTTATGTTGCTGGTCTTTAAATGGCTATAAATATGGTTTTAAAGATTTATATATTTGCATTGTAAACAAACCAGAATCATCTGTGAATGTGCGACATATAAGTCCACTAATTATTTACTAAAATAAATAAATGTATTAATCCATTAAGAGGACAAAGTTAATCAGCTACAAAAGTACAAACTGCTACCTTGCAAAAGCACTGGAGTAGTAGCCACGGCTTCCAGATGTTCCACCATAAGTTTTCTTAATGTCTTCATGAGTTATCTAATTGGAAAATTAAGGTGATACACATTTAATGTAATTAAATGCATTGCATATTTAATATATAATATTCCAGGAAACATAACAAAGTCCTTCATGGAAGTCTTATTTCTCTGTGCACTACTGTGTTTCCCTGAAAATAAGCCCCTTCCCTAAACTAAGACCTACCCTGATATTTTGGAGGTGGGCTAATATAAGCTCTACCACAAAAATAAGCCCTAGTTAGGATCCTGTCCACTCCGTCCCACCTCGCTGCCACAATGGGGCAGGAGGCCGCATGGCACATTGTGCTGCTGCCACAAGGTGAGGCAGGTGGGGGAGGGGGTGGAGCTGCCCCACACCCGCTTAGCTGTACTTCAGGCCCTCCCACCAGGCCATTCCTTGATCGGTGACCTTTCACCCCCCTCCTGAGCCAGACTGCTATGCTACAGCAGATGGGATGGGCGGGGTAGGACCGATCCCCCTCTGTCATTTTGGAGCCAGGGGGGAGTGATGGCGAATGGCTCCACTGCCGCTGTGCACAGCTGGAGGGGCTTTCTTTAAGCTTTGCCCTGCAGATCACCTGCTCAGGCGCAGCCGCCATTAACCATGTGTCATCTGTCTCATGGAGAACGGCGAACGTAGCGGCTCTGCACAGGGATGCAGAGCAGAGAACAGCACTTGCTTTCTGCCTGCATTGCCCTGCGTCTCCCTTCTCCCTTCTGGAAAAGGCAGCCCCGTTTCCTGTTGCTTGTCCTTCCGGCGCAGCTCCTCCCTCTTCCCGAAACCATTTCTGCGGCCTCCTGTTGCAAGCACCCACAGAAGTGGACCGGCAGCCACATGGGCTGCCACCGTGAGGCGAGGCAGGTATCACGAAAAATATAAGATACCCCCAAAATTAAGACCCAATGCCTCTTTTGGAGACATAAATAATATAAGATAGAGTCTTACTTTTGGGGAAACACGGTAATAACTTGAAGAATCATATTCCCTTTTCCCCGTCCTTTCCTTCAGCAGATAATTAACATGTTTTGTTTTCAATCTGCCTGCTTATTTTTTTTCCCCCTTCCTAATGATGTCCTTAGCTTGTGTAAATCTTGAGGTTTCTTTAACCATGCTAAAGCCACAAAAATGAGCCTGGAGAAACCATGTAGTGACTGTTACAAATATATGTCTTTACCCTCAGCAAATAAAGAAAACATTAGGAAGAAATACAAACTGGCTCTAAACTCCCTGGAGTATAAGGAGGAGAAAAAGGAACATCTAGTCAGGGTTTCAAGATTCTGTTATTACAGCCTATCTCAATAAAAATAAAGTTTCAGCCATTGTCAAGGAATCTGTTTCCTGACCTGGCCTACTTTGAAGAGCTGAGATGCTGATGCCACTTTTTAAATCTGCATTCAATTTAAATTTAAATCTATATGCTGTTTTGTTTCATTACAGGCATTCAGGATCTTTGTTGAGATCACTATAATAACTTACCTTGCTAACATGTTGATCATTGAAACTGTACCACTGATCATCACTAAAGGATTTTATGCATGCATAATAGTGACCGCCAGCTGCACTTCCCGAATGAACCATAACAGAAAATAATTCATATAGTAATGAATTCTGTATGATAGAGAAAATAGCAAATACAGATTGGTCAAAAAATATTTGTATCACTGTTTGAGTTACTTAATTTTTTAAAAATTCTTTTAAAAGTATTTTATTTTATTTTTCATGCTATTCATATCTCATGTCCTTTGTTTTGTGCTTAAAACCTCTAATGTTAATACTAACATTTAAAATGACGCTCTTGTTCCTTGTCCCATTAATATGAGAACATATTCAACGCAGTCACATTTTGTGAGATATCTAGCTCCTCTGACAAGAAACAAAACAAATCTGAACATTTATAAGAATATTGAAGTAATAACACATTTTATAAAAATTAAATATTAAATTATCCCCCCAAATCACTCTAATTCTAATATTTCCTGCTCATTTTATTACCTATATTATTACTTCCAATAATATCTGTACATTTTTATTTCTTGTCATCTTATTTATATTTTAAGCATCTTGCTATGGTACTCTCACCAATAATATTCTGGCAACAGAATGTATTTCAGCAAGTTGGCTATGACCATAAAAGTCAACATTCCATATTATGCTTTTGTTTCTTCCCTTGCTGGGAATTGTTGGCTAATACTATTTTCCTTTTTCTACAATAGGCAAAATAACTGCTGTTATTTTAGAAAATTTTCCTACAGATGAGATCAGCTATTGACATTCATTATTATAAAATCATTGTAATTCATGTTCTCATTATTGGTAAAAATGTCTCTTGTAAGATATAGATAGATAGATAGATAGATAGATAGATAGATAGATAGATAGATAGATAGATAGATAGACAGACAGATAGACAGACAAGACAATTGACATAAGGCTATTTCTATTACAGGTAGTCCTTGAGTTATGACCACAATTGAGCCCAAAATTTATGTTTCTAAGTGAAACATTTGTTATAAGTGAGTTTGCCCCATTTTATGACCTTTCTTGCCACAGTTGTTAAGTGAATCATTGCATTTATTAAGTTAGTAATGCAGTTATTAATTGAATCTGTCTTCCCCATTGACTTTGCTTGTGAGAAGGTCACAAAAGCTGATCACATGACCCCAGGACACTGCAACTGTCATAAATATGAATCAGTTGCCAAGGATCTGAATTTTGATCATGTGACCATGCTGCAATGGTTGTAAGTGTGAAATATAGTCACTTTTTTCAGTGCTGTTGTAATTTTGAACAGTCACTAAATGAATTGTTTATAAGCTGAGGACTATCTGTATATGGGAGTATAATATGGGACTAAAAGGCTAAAGGCTAAAAATTTACCAAAACTGATATACTAAAACATATTTGTCTGTTGAGGACTAGCTGTATATGGCCATGGGGTTGTTCTAAACTTTAGTGGCCTCCCCTCAGGTCGTTTTGCAATTAACTGGAAAACCAGCTAACAGTGTACTATCAATTTACTGACAAATTTTCGTAAGGCAAACAATATTTTGTGTTACTTTGTACAATACATAATAATAATCCTAATAATGTAAATATGCAATAATTTCAATACGCGTATTGAAATAGCATAAGATTATATAAGGTACCTTTTCACTAACAACTTTTGAAATTCTTTCAGCAGCACTATTGTTTTCAAGACATATTCCTTCATCAATGCCATCGTCATTAGAAAAGTCATTGCTCATCTGATCACTGTGACAACTGCCTTCATTCTCTGCTCCACTATCAGTGCAGCTCTCTGTTTGAGGAGACTTCTTAAAACAAGTCATAAGGATTAGTTTATAAACAATAAAGATTTGTACATCTTACAAAATAATTGAAATTGTAAAGCGGAGTCAACAGCGCATACCTGTGTACAACATGAGAATTAAATTCCTTTGTAAAAATATTCTACAGACTTTTGTTAGTTCAGCTATTGATGGATTCATATGTTCTCTCTTATTACACACAAATACCTAGAGATGAGCACATTTTACAAATGCACAACAGCAAGGAGGCATTTCAGGAAATATAAGGTCTGCATCTTCCCCCTATTGATTGGTTACCTTGCACTACTGCACATGTGTCTGTATGTATGCATAGCAGTCACAACCAAAATCTAGGTTTTACATTTAAAAAGTTTGAAAAGTGAAAGAAAAGACACTACACGGCAGCTGATCCTGATTTTCTGAATAAATTTCAAATTAACCTGATATGAAATAAGTTTATAATTTACAGTCAATTAAGCTATTTCTTAAAACATAATCCATATATATATTGATTATTACCTCATCTTCAATATCAATGAATGAGCCCATATCTAGCTCTTCCGGAAATGTCATACGGTCGTTAAGTTTTATTCTATGCATAGTGGTATAATCAAAATCGAATCTTTTTAACTGCAAGGTCAGCAAATAAGGAAAATGCAAAAATCGCAATCCCTGCAAGATACAAAGGGAAACCAATTGTCAAAGATGAATTGCATTTCGTATATGTTAATACAGCCACCTCATTATTTAGGTTAAAATGTGCTTACCTTTCTTGCATCACATTTCTTCTTGCATCGTTCACAGAAATACTGATTGGCACCATCAAGAATCTCAGGCTGAATGAAAGCATGTAGAGCTTCCTCCTAATCAGAAATTTTTAAAAGACCAACTTTACACATTATGCAATAATTTGACATCAACGATTCTTGAATTTTATAACACATGTCCGTGAAGAAAAGTAGATAACAAGTTTCTTCTTTTATATTTTCCCTTCAGTAAGCAGCCAAATCATGATCTGTAAAACATTATTTATTAAATAACTGATGGTTCCAAGTTTAGATAGTGTAAATAATCTAAAGCAAATCTGTTACCTTGCACATCACATTAAATCACAGTGGCATAGGCAAATCATCCATCCATCAGTTCCATATCTCAGCCACTTGATTTAAAGCTGGCTTTATTTTATTGGGAACAAATATACAGTACATTTTTAATTACTAAAATTATATCTACTCTAGGAAATATTTCCACATTAATCTGAAAACTTAACATTTAAGTGCTGAATGTATTTCTCTGTACAAGTTTCCTTAAACACAACTGGTTTCCTATAAGATATGACTTGAGAATATCTCTTGCTCTTACCAAAATAATTTGATTCTTTTCTTATTTAAGTACTTTTCTATAAAACCCTACCCAACGTGAGACTAAACTACATGCAGAGGTCTACTTAGCATGTCAATTATCCTTATGTCCCCTTTAGAACATCCATGCTATCTAACAAGACACAAGTGATGAAGCAAGGGAAGAAATATTCTATCAACTCAACTATACTATCTTCAGAAAACCAAAGACCTAATAACAGAACAAGACAAAATTATGGTTTCAGTTGATGTCACAGAACATTTTACAGACACAGAACTAGTGAAAAAAATCCATGGCAGCAGTACCACACAACACACCCAACATTAAGATTGAAAGGGGCGTTGTCTTACCTTACCTTACCTTTTCTCAGCACGGAGATGGAGAATCCACCAATGGGTTTAAACTGTGTTCCTGCCCAATCAGATCAAGTCAGCTAAACGTGCTATGCCTGCCTGGGCTAGGGTGTCAGTCTCGACGTGGGCGAAGCCATTGACTGACAGCAAGATGTGTTGGCTCATGAATCTAACCCTAGGCCTAAATGACCTGCGAGGGCGGGAGTGGATTCTCCATCTTCGTGCTGAGAAAAGGCGTTCAGGTAAAACAACGCCCCTTCTCCAGCACTAGAGATGGAGAATCCACCAATGGGACATACCAAAGCTTACTGTCCCTGTGGGAGGGGAGCAGGCTGGTCCGGTGTGTTATCTCGAGGTACAACCTATTGGAGAACTCTCCTACCAAAGGAGGCCTCCGCCGAGGCAAACCTGTCCAGTTTATAGTGTCGTATAAAGGGCGACGGTGAAGACTACGTAGCCGCCCTACAAACGTCCTCAATGGACGCTTGAGTGGCCCAAGCCGCCGAAGTAGCTGCACTACGGGTTGAGTGGGCCGTGACATGTCGTGGAACCGGCAAAGACTCAGACTGGTACGCCCCCGCAATGCATGCTCTGATCCATCTGCCAATTGTGGAGGAAGATACCTTCTGACTCTTGGAAGAAGGGCGGAAGGAAACAAGAGGGCCTCGGAATTGCGGAAGGCAGCCATCTGTGTGATGTAGCAACTGAGTGCCCTACGAACGTCCAGAAGGTGCCATTGCCATTCCAGAGCATGAGATGGATTAGGGCAGAAATAAGGAAGCACAATTTCCTGAGCCCTATGGAATAGAGAGTTGACCTTCGGTACAAAGGTAAAAATGCATAAGTCATCCCTAGTGGAAAGTGCTGCTATCTCAGATATCCGTTGCGCGGAAATAATTGCCACCAGGAAGGCAACTTATGAGATAAGGATCGCAAATCACACATCCTGAGAGGCTCAAAGGGAGGCCTGGTGAGAGCCTGGCGAACCCACGGCAGTTCCCACGAGGGGTACCTATGCACCACAGGGGGCTTTGTGTTTGTGGCACCCTTGATGAATGAGCGAATCAATGGGTGTTGACCAAGAGATACTGCGGTGTCACAGGTAAGTAGGGTGGAGAGAGCAGCAATTTGTCTGGGTAATGTGTTCGGAGCCAAGCTCCTTTCTAGGCCCTCCAGAAGGTAGTTTAAGATTCTTGGACCTGTAAAGTCAAGTGATGGTTTGTGTACCACGAACAGAAATTCCTCCAGGTGGCCTCATAAATACGGTTGGTAACGGGCCGATGGGAGGCCTGGATCATGGTAATGACTCGTGGCGAGCAGGACTCCTGGGATAAGATCCTGCGCTCAAGTGCCAGGTGGCTAACTGGAGCCATTGAGGATCCGGATGAAGCAGGGTCCCCTGGCTGAGTGAGACCCAATCCGGAGGAATCCTCCATGGGGGCACTATGGAGAGGTTCACGAGATTGGGGAACCAAGGTCTCCGCGGCCAGTACAGGGCCACTAGAAGAACCTCCGCCCTTTCCCGAAGGAGCTTGCGGACAACCACCGGAAGAAGAGGGAGAGGAGGGAAGGTGTAGAGCAGTCCCTCCAGCCAAGGACACCTGAGAGCATCCACCCTTTCTGCTCCTGGGGAAGGGAAATGGGAGAAAAACCTCGGTAGATGAATGTTCGTTGGGGAGGCAAAAAGGTCTATTATCGGTAGGCCGAAGCTGTTGGAGATCTCTCTGAAGATATGCGGATGCAGGCGCCATTCCAAGTGTTCCACTGTCGACCTGCTCAGGAAGTCCGCCTGTCTGTCCGCCTCCCCTGATATGTGGTCGCCTTGATGGAGACAAGGTTGGTCTCTTCCCAGAAGCCCAGCAATAGGGCCTCGGTCAAGAGTGCATGGGATCAGGTGCTCCCTTGCACTCACATGGGCTTTTGCCGCTACATTGTCTGTGAGGACCAATATGTGATGCTTCGCTACATGCTGCAGAAGTGACGGAGCACTAGGTGTATAGCCCTGAGCTCCAGCCAGTTGATATTGTGACAGAGGTCTGAGCTGGACCATCGGCCTTGGACCTATTGTGACCGAAGTGCGCTCCCCAGCCGAACAGGCTGGCGTCGGTCGTAAGGATGAGCCAATAGGGTTCCTTGAAATAGGACCCTCTGAGCATGGCCGGCAAGAGCCACCACTTGAGACCTCTCAAGGTGATGAGGGACTCTTACCCGCCGACTGAAGGGACTGATGTTGAGTCTTTGGAAGGGGAGTAGGAACCACTGGAGGTTCTTGGAATGAAGCCTGGCCCATGGGACAATTGCCACGGCTGAAATCATTTTCCCTAGTAATTGGGAGAGAATGGCCAACGTCACCGTTCATTCCCTGCATATTTGGAGGACTAACTCCTGGATGCTATCCCGGCATTCCTGGGAGAGATAGACCCGGCATTCAACCGTGTCTATGACGACCCCTAGGTGCAATAGTCTGGTTGTAGGAACCATATGGCTCTTGGCAAAGTTTACCGAGAACCCATGATTCTGGAGCACCCCTATCACCAGTCCAAGATCCGACTGAGCGGCCTGGATCAACGATGACTGGATTAGAGTGTCGTCCAGGTAACACTGGAGTCGGACAGGCACCAGTCTCAGGTGAGCGGCCAGAACCATCAGGATCTTGGTAAAGACTCTCGGAACCAAGGACAAGCCAAATGGGAGTGCCCTGTATTGGTAATGGTGACCCCTGTAGGTGAACCGTAGGAACCGGCGGTGGTTGAGAGAGATGGGGATGTGAAGATATGCTTCCATGAGGTCAATAGACATCAGGAAGTCTCCCTTTCTTACATTTCCCAAGATGGACTGGAGCGTTTACATCTTGAATTTTCGGTATGCAAGATGATAGTTCAACCCTTTTAGGTCTAGGATAGCTCTCCATCCCCCCGAGGCCTTGGGGATGACAAAGAGGATAGAGTAAAATCCCCAACCTCTCTGACCCAGCGGCACCGGTTCTATGACCCTTATGCTCAAGAGGTGACGAATGGCCTCTTGCATTAGACCTTTCTTTGTGGGATTTCTTAATTGAGGACAAGATATGAAACGTCCCGGAGGGCTTTAGACAAATTCCAGGGACAGGCCGTGATGAATGGTGTTCAGGACCCAGGCATTTATGGTGGTGGTCTCCCACTGACGGGCAAAGAAGGATAACCTTCCCACTATGGGAGGAGCCACCCGAGAGTCACTTGGACTGTCGGAAAAGGCGGCCACCCCCTCGAAAGGGCCGCTTGCCCTGAAATTATTGTCTGGGTCTGGAAAACGTTCTGTCAGGCAGCCTGTCTTGCCTGGCAGGAAAGGGACGGTTGGGCTGGGTATAGCTGGGAATAGCTCCAGACCGAAGGGACTGTCTCCGGGTGTAAGACTTGGCCCGTCTGTCGGTTCGCTTTATGAGATGGTTGAGCACCTTATGTTTGTCCTTATTTTCTGTCAGGTAAGGTGCTAAGGCTTCCCCGAACAGTTTACCTCCTTGATATGGAGCTGCTGACAAGCGCCATTTGGATTTAGCATCAGCATGCCAGTGTTTTAACCAGAGCATGCGACGTGCTGTCACGTTAGATGCCAAGGCTCTGGAAGAAAACCTGGCTGCGTCTAGGGTTGCGTCGGAAGCATATTCCATGGCCGCTACTAGTTTGCTCAGGTCCTGATGTGTGCGGATATCCTCCAGGGGAATCCTGGCCTGGAGCTGTTGGAGCCAGAGGAGAGAGGACCTAGTAAAAAAGGATGCTGAGGTGGTTGCTCTAATAGCCCACACTGCAGCTTGATGGGTTCTGTGGAACATCAGTTCCCATCTGCGATCCTCTGCCTTCAGGGCTTCAGATATATCCCGAGATAGCGGTGGGGGATACAAGAGGACCCAGGGGCTCGTCCACTGCGGGCACCTCCAGGGCATCAGCCAAATCTTGGGCAAAGCTGAACAGTTTTTTGTCATTCCCATTGGGGAGGGGAAAGGTGCCCGGGAGGCCCACTGTTTCCGGACCGCATTGAGAAAAAGGGACGGCCAGGGCACATGGTGTTGGGTTATTACCGGTTCGGTGAAGACCAGATCCGCCTCTAAGTCTGGTGCAGTTGCTGTTGCCGGGGCCAAGCAATTGGGCCCAACATGAGCAGTGGAGTTGGCC